ATACTCAAAGATACAACACTCACAAATGACACATGCAGAAAATGTCACATCATGCCAGAAACTATACAACACATTACTTCTGGTTGCAAGCTCTTGGCACAGACAGATTATTTACACAGACATAATCAAGTACCAAATATAATACACCAAGAGCTTGCAAACAAACACAAATTATTAGACATCCATGAACCATACAACAAATACATTCCACAGACAGTATTAGAAAACAACACATACAAAATGTACTACAACAGAGCCATAATCACAGATAAAACAATTTACCACAACAGACTCATTGACAAACACAATAAAATCACATACATTATAGACATAGCCATTCCAAACACTCACAATGTACAAAACACATGCACTGAAAAAATTTGCAAGTACACAGAACTCGCCCAGGAAATAGAGCATCTGTGGAGGATGGAAAGGGTGCTTATTGTGCCTGTCGTTCTCTCATGTACAGGTGTGATACCACACACACTACACAAAAGCCTGGGAACATTACAATTGAATAGAAATACATACATCACACTACAGAAGGCCGCTATATTGAATACATTATTTGCCACATTGTTAGGAAATTCCTGAATAAAGACACTGACACACTTATTTAATTTTTGTTTTTGGTTGCTATGCCTTGACTCTGGTTTGGCATAGTACATAGCCACTGGTATCAATCGAGTATAACCCACTAAATACTGTATAATAATAATAATAACAATAACTATGACTCTCACCTTGCTGATTTGAGAGATTTTAGTAGTTCCAATGAACCATAGAGTGATGCTGACAGGAATGTAAGCAGCATGAATGTGTTTACAGCAGCATTAAAAATGACTCACTTAGCCCACTCCATGAATCAACATGAATCAGATGCTGTAAACAAAGCAGCATCTGATTCATTGTTCTCCATGTTGGACGGTTGGAAATAACAAAAAACGATTGTTAATCATTTAGAGCATGATATTGGCTTTGACGTTTCTTGTATTAATAGCATCCTTGTTCATGAGTTAGGCAGAGGCTTGCATCTGGAAAATATGCCTCAGTCTCCCTTGCCACCAGTGGCAAACACAGCACAGGCCCGATCATGGCATCACAAACACATTCACTATCTCGCTCGCTGTTAATAGACAACACACACTAATCGGCCATGCTTCGGCGGGAATCCGGCCACTGATTGCCAAGGAAAACACACCTATGGATGAAGTGGACTCGAGAAATAAATGATCCGTCATCCGTGCCTATTACCACCATTACAAAATTTAAAATAGACATGACAGCATACAAATGACACATGATAAATTCACACAAAAATACCCATATCTCACTGTTACAGAGCAAAAGATGGATCAGAAAACAACAAGTATACAGTAAAATCTGTCTATGGCGACCACCTACAGTTCCTTCTAAAAGTGGTCTTTTAGACAGGTGGTCGTCCATTACAGGTGGTGCTGTAATACCGTATTTCCGTACGTATTTTGCGCACTTTTTAGCCATTTCTATTAAGCAAAACTCGCAGTGAGCAAAAATAAGCAAATTTTTTCAACGATAGGGCTATACTGTATTGGTATTGTATTTTATTCTTATCGGATAACTTGATTTATGGGAGTCGTCATGATTTTATAAGACAGATTTAATATCAATATTTTAAAGATTAATACAATAGTCGCATTTTCTCTATTATAATGCACACTTTCTTTTTTCCGACTTAATTAATTCAACTTGGTTCTTTTAGTTCGCTCCTCAGTTGCGTGTATTACGTCATCTATATACAAGTGCATCGTATCTCTACATCACTTTGGTTTTGGTATTCGTTAGTTTAATCTTATTTTAACTTTATTTTTTTAATATTTTCCTAAGTACAATAAGAAAAATTATTAATTAATAAAATGATTGTATTGTTTTTTCTCATTATACGATTTCATTACATTCCGCTAATGTCATTGCGGAACCGAAAAAGGAAGGTTGCCTGTAAAACTGATTTTTGCATTAATGTGTTTATTGTTTTTTGAATATTTTGCATGCGTGGAAATAAGGTAGGTTGATACAGAAACTATTTATCGCACATGTACTGTATATGAGTTCAAAATAAATAAATAAAAATAAATTTTATCAAACGATGCGATCAGCCAATTAATTGTATCGTGTACAATATTTTATACCCCCAAGGAAAATACTGTAGATCTAGGGTAAAATCAATTTCGTTTTCCCATAGTTAAACTTTGCCGCTAATTGCTTCTGTGATAACTTTAACACGCTCTTCTAACAACAGCGCTTTGTATTTCTTTCGTTTTTTGGACAATTTCGAACAAACTGAAATGAATTTCCTTTGTTGCTAGACTAATTCATTAACACCTGCAACTAATTTCAAGGGTGGGAGATGTGTCTGAGGTGGGTTCGAACGAGAGTTTATACTAATTCATCATCATAGGAGGGAGGAAACGTTGTTCAGATGAGTTCGAACAATAGTTTAGACCAGATATATTTGCAGAAGTGGTCGCTTATTACAGTTGTTATATGTTGTTTCGGACCAAAAATTGATGCCAGCAGTCGCACTACACAGGTGGTCGTTTAATACAGATAACTTATACGAAGATTCTATGGATAAAATATTCAGTGCCAGAAATTTTTGCCCATTTTGGCAGGTGCCCGTCAAATGCAGGTGGTCGCCTAAATAGTTTTCACTGTACTTAACAACCTTCTATAAATGTGAACAAGTAGTGCAAATTTAAACAAATAATACATCAAATTTATCGACACCTGCAAACACTAGATCACACCGATCAGACACTCACTGACAATATCTGAATCGCAATCACTTGTGAAAAGTACACGGCATAATATGCACCAATAAAAATATAAACTCAAAAATTACAACTAATGACATCAGTCAGATAACAAATAATGATTGCTATGGAGTGGGCTATGTGAGAAGTCATTTCTAATGCTGCTGTAAACACAATATGACTACTGCCGACATTTTGTCACATCCAAAAATACATCTACAGGATTTGTTGGCAATTCAGATGTTTACAAGATACATCATTCAAGCTCGTGAGCTTGCGCAAGAGTACTTATTTCTCTTGAGTATGAAAAGAACACAATCTAATGTGTAATTCAGATTTCATCTTTGATTGCTTTGACAATGCTGCAACAAGTGAAAAACATTAGATTTTCTTCAATAAGTCAAATTTATTCAGACAAGTATCGCAGTTCTGTGCGACAAAATATCAGCATATTGCATAAACCTGCCTTTAAGTAACACTGTTACTGAAGTCCTTGGAAAGTGAAGACAACTTGCATGTTTTGTGGGAACACTTAGTGACATGTTAAAAGGGATTCATGTGATGCATTATAAAATAAGGCATTCCTCACACAATAGATGCAGTTAACTTTTGGGTCATTCTAAACAGAGAAAGGAAGAAAAACACTTCTTGTTGCCATCTTGTAAAAAAAATAAGTTACACAGGACAGGGTCCTAGGACTATATTGGGGACCTCGTGCACATGCGTGGTCTGCTAGCGCATCAATGACAGAAATTCTCTAAAAAATGGAAACATCAAAATTTCACTTACAGCATAGTAATGTTTACTCGTGTAGAAGCTTGGAAATACTGCATGTCGCAAGATATACTACATCTTTTTGATCACATTAGAGACACTGTCGTAGAAGTTCTGTGTTGTTGCAAGTGTTACCTGTGTATGTTATTATATCAATTCAAATTTAATGAACAAGTCACATTTTACATTAAAATGCAATTCTATGCACAAATGTTTTACATTTTCCAAATTTATAGCAATATGAGTATATTTTTAATACTTTTACTGTTTATAATAGTAATAACTGTAAAGTGATTCTATGAGGTGGGAAATAGACGTTTAGGTTGTAAACATGGTCTGATTGATATAATTTGCATTTGATGTACTTTCATCTTTCATATAATGTAAACCTACACTCACATTAACCCTTCCATATACAAAACAGATTCTTAGGACATGTCCATGCCGACACGAGCAAATGTGATGACGTCAGATTGCGACATTCCTTCTTCTTACTAATACTCATGCAGTGTGAATGTAAGGAGCTAATGCACGAGTGTGGCATAAAGTTCAAATGGTGACAGATGTCTGCAAGAGTGAGATTTTATCCCATGTTTCACTCTTGCACAGCCTTCACGCTTTGCTACAATTCTTCCATCTGCATGTCTGTAACCTTAATATTTAATACATCTACAGGTTTTCATTTCAATACCATATAACTTAATGTAACACAAATGTTCTGTACAAAAATACTTAGGATTTACTCTAACATTGCTTTACTTCTTCCTTTCAGATTCTCCTCGTTTGTCCCACTACACGAATTATGGAAGCAATACATGGACGATATTCTGCCCGATAACATACTAAGGTAAAATAATGCACGCTTATGCACAAATTCCGTTTACGTACATTGTATTCTTTATTGTCAGTTTGCAGAACAACTCTGCCGAACTGCTCCATTTACTCCAGAAAGCAGATTATCACGGCTGTTATCTGGTGGTTGCCGCCTCAAAGTGTTCCCCCTATGTCGGATGCAAAGGAATCGTCATAATGGAAACGAAGAACACGTTTAGGATAGTGACACCCAAGAATATTGTCAAAAGTAATTACTAGTTGCAGTAATTTATAATTTGATTTTGCAAGAAATATCCATAACATACAATTTATTTTCAGCAATTCCCAAGAATAATACAACCTTTGCATTCGAATTAAAAGGGAAGATATTCAAGATATACGGAAGTCATTTTCGGCATCTTCCCGGAGAGCGGTGCAGAGCAAAGTTCAAGAGCAAGTGACGAGAGAGTTGTCCCATAAAGTCGAATAAATTACTTTTACCTTAAACATAACCTTTATAATTCGTGTGCTAATTAGTGAGAAAATTGATGATTTTGCTGTTTGCTGTGGTGCCGCAATGGCTCTGAAATCTGTCTTCGCAAACTTTTGGAAACAATGGGCTAAATCTGTTTATTCTAAAATATTGGAATGAAAGTTTAGTTAAGAGTAGATCAATAGATTAAGTAACAAGGCCCACAAACCCACAATAATAATTGATATCTGCCTTACTGTGTTACAGTTCAGTACTATGCAGTCTCAGAGTTTCACTGATACCGAGGTGGGCCGACTCAAAATGTGGTCAAACATTTGTGAGTGCAGTTATTTATTTTCTGCATGCAAAAGAAACAAACTTAACTATCATTTATTGTATGCAGCAGCATTATGACTGGGAGACGGGCGTTTGCGAATGGTAGATCTGTACAATGATCAGTAAACTGGCCAACTCACAATTGCAGTCATGGCCATGTGGGAAGAATGATTCAGAAAGACAGGCAAATAGATGACAACAAACCCGACATTTTATGCTGTTTCATACACAATACTCCATTCCTCCAGTGTTTTGGTACACGTTGGGCACCAAAAAAACTGGAGGAATAACATGAAACAAGCAGATAAACCTCTCCTCCTCAAAACATCTCATACTACAGACAGGAAGGCTCTAGGTTTCTCACTCTTATTATTATAGGTGACAAAACAATGCCACACCTTTGAAAATCAGAATCAAAATGGGCAAGCACAGTTTGGAAACTTCCCTCATCCCCACAACAAAAGTTGAATATACCATGATTTTTTTGGCAAATAATAATAGTTTTAGGACCACATGCTTAGGATGTCCTGCTTGTGAACGTTCTTCCCAAGGCACCATTGTGAATGCAGCAAGTTATTTGTAAGACTCTGGACAGACTGAAAGCCTATTCGCTGCTGAAAACCTGGCATGCTGCAAACAAGTGATCACCAGCTGTTGTCATATCAAGGATATCCACTGGGAGGTTTTGGAACACCCTTCCCTTGTCCAGGATCTGGTCCTTGGTTACCATCTGTTTGACCATTGAAAAGGCATCTTGGCAGATTAAGGTTTGCAACTACATTATACTTGCAATACACTGTCTTGAACTGGCCGGAGGGGTTCGACATAACTTTATTCTCTGCTGGAATGGATGCGCGTGCCCAAAAATCTACTCATTATTTTAATCCATTGCCACCTTTCTGGGAATCGACATAAAAACAGCTAATGTGGTTGGCACATGCTCCTTAATCAGAGTGTCTAACATACTCTATGACAAATATTTCGTCCTTTGTCGGCACAGCCCTTAAAATTTAGAATATCACAGGAATAGTCCCATTTATAGATCTCTTGCCCCTTTGGCATGCATACTCTGCAGTTGCACAGATTGCTTCCTCTACAATACGTCTGAGGCAGATTGTATTTCTAAGGTATTCCAAATTATAAGGAACATGTTGATCCTTTCAGGTTACTGGGCATTTATGACATACTGATAAGAGAGTAGACAATGACTGCATCAACACAAATCCTTAACACTGCGACACAGATTCCCAGAAGTGTCATCATACTTCTGGGAATCTGTGTCGCAGTGTTAAGGATTTGAGAGTTGGAAGATGTTGAGCATTCTAATTGTTGGTTAAAACACTAACACAGTATTTATAGAAAAATGCTTTTATTTACACGTATTAGACAATTAAACTCCAGATTTGTCATCTCCACCACAATAAGCGATACATTTTGTGTAGAAACGTATCAAAACGAGGACTTTCCACCCACAATACAGTAACTAGCGTAGTTCTGTATTAAACTTAAGACTATAAATTGTCCTTTGTCATTCTGTAGACTACGGAATAAGGTGCAAATAAACTGCTACGAGAAGAGAAGAACTGCGTGTCTTCCTCAGAAGTGATAGGTATTTTTATCTATTTCTGACAGATCGTCCATTATCTGCAACGAAACAACTCGTATTTACTTTGGAAGCCGCAAGTGCCAACAAATTGAATAAACTAATCCCTTACCTGATCGGAACTGGTGCCGATCTTCTTGGCCAGTTCGCACTTTTCCATGACGGACAGATTGATGTATTTCCACAGGAGATCGCCATCCAGGATGCTCTTGTGTGGATTCATCAGATACTTCCTCTGGCTGTGCAGTGCCCTGTCAAAAGGTATTGTCCCATCAACCAAATGCCAAGAACAGATAGAAAATCAAATTGCTTACCTGAAAGCTTTTGGGTTGAGCCCACAAGTGTGAGGTATATGAGTGACCAGGACATTTTGCAACATGAGTAGACGCCTGTACGTCTTTTCGGACACCGGCAGTAGATATCCTAAGCTTCCGTCAAGAGTCGCTGAAAATAAGAGTGGTGATTACATACAAACATGCTGGTGTAATGGAAATTATCCGACTCATTCACATTATAAGTGATGTGGCAAAGGGTATCCTTCACTTTGTATTTGCACAAGGAAGCATTATGGTGGAGGTGCTTTTGGTTGGAAACAAAGGAAAGGATCCAGACTGCTTGACATTTATTTAACCATTTATAAATTAGATTACAAAACTTCAACACCCTAGAAGCCTTAATTATAAACAATTGTGCCAAAGGAGGCAAGACAGAACAAAATACTTGTTTGGCACTTTTTCTCTGAAGCAATATGAACGATGAATTCAAGAAATGACAATGCAAATGGCAGTCACAATAACGTGAAGAACCAGCTACAAAATTTCTGGATGATGCTACACCCCATCCCCACGGCACACTTGCAAATGCTAATTTAGTATTTTCCCGAGCAATGCTACACTATTTTGAAGCACTTTAAATGCCGTCAAAGAATTGACGTTCAAGCAGGTGCAGAAACAAACAAAGGAATCCAATTTGGTCGTTTACTTCCAATTAAAACTAAATTAGTTTTTAGTTGAGAAAACCGAAAGTAAACCTGAAAGTAGGATCTTAATGATCCTACTTTCAGGTTACTTGATTTCTTGACACGTTGATTGTCAAAATTTTTATCCCAATACCATTTCAATTTATTTGCATTATTTTATTGTTCTATTTAATGTATTTATGCACACATAAGTTGAAGTTTTTATTCATTTTTCACTGCTTCAACAACCTAGGAATTAAACAAAGGTTATTTTTTGGGGGACTTTTGTTTTGCACGGGTTCAACTCATTACCGTCTATAAAGCATTATTGGAGCACAGATGCATAATGCCCTTTGAATGAGCCATAATAGATTTCATTTATTAAAATTTTCACATTTTGCCGATAATTCAACAGTAACAGTCGACAGATTACACGAGACCTGTTTTGAATCACTTCAATACTATTATGAAATTTACTTAAGCACCACACGGAAACCTCTATCGACAAATTAAAAGTTTATTGTGGGAAGTCTGTAGAATGGACTACGCATCCGGTGTTATTTCACATTTGACGGAAGATTGTTTAAACAAGGAATACATATATATATATGGATAATTCTGTCAACTCGACAAACCTATCAACATGTCAGAAAACTTGTTTATATGGTATTTTACGAAGTAACCATATAAACAAGTAAATATCACAATATAATAAATAAAACTTGGCCAACAGAAAGAAAAAATTTCTTGCTTTGCTTTGCTTTGTATATTTGTGATATTTTATATTTTTACTTAATGCAGAATAATAATGGTGAAAGGGTGGAGTCCTTCTGCATGGAGAGAGGATAGTTTGTAACGAACATCTATTTCAAGCATTGTCACAATGGTTGAAATAGGTCCACGTGTATGCGGGAAAGAAAGGACTCACAAAAACGTACGATTGATCTTGTGCCGTGTGATAAGCAACACTAGGATCATGTGAAGCACTAATTGTGACAGTGACCATTTCTTAGTTGTATATCTATTGCAAATGCGTGAAAAAATATGATGCAGTCAGAGTAAAAGTGGAACGTTTGAAGGACGTATAAAAAGTGTCACGTATTTCATAGTCACAACTTTTGTATGTGTTTGAAGAATGCTGTAGTAATGAGTGCCACAGATATATGCTGTAAAGTATTGTAAACAGGGAGGGAACAAAAGAAGCACCAATCTCACTAATTGGATCCAAGTGTGATCCGGTGATAGACCACTTGCCTGGCCATAAACAAGTGGGTTGGAATATCAGCAGACGTAAATGTAAGCCTCACTCTCATCCGAAAAGCGGACCTGCGTGAAAGCTGTTAGTGTAAGGGAGGTTTGTGATTGGTCAGAAGTTTCCATCCAAAAAAATCCTATAGTTTATTTACAAAATATATATATTTTGTAAATAAACTATATCCAGTTGCGACAAATACTGCAAACCAACTCAACGAGACAGAGTTTGGAGAAGAAACTTCACTTATGCAGTACTGCAAAAATTGGTAAGAAAGCAAAGAATGCTCTGTGGATGACTGACACTGTGCGTGAAGCTGTACTAGAAAAAAAAGGGGGCATATCTGAATATGCTTGCAGATAAAATGGAACCACATGATTACAAACAGTTGAAACTGGAGAATGCAAAAGAGAGTAAGCCACATGTGAAAGATGAGTTTGCTGAATGTGTGTGTAATGATTTTGAATCTAACAATAAGTTGTTTTGGAAAAAGTAAGAAGTGTAAAAAGCAGGGCTGTGGAGTCGCGTAAAAATCTACCGACTCCGGCTAAAACACCAAAACTCCACAACTCCGACTACGAATCCACAGTCCTGCCAGGGCTGTGGAGTCGCGTAAAAATATACCGACTCCGACTTTTCCTTACCATCCGACTCTGACTCCGGCTAAAACACCCAAAACTCCACGACTCCGACTCCACAGCCCTGGTAAAAAGACAATGAAACTTCGTTGGCTGGTGAGATAGGTACATATTACAGGTGGAAGGAGTATTTTGAGTTTGTATGGTGGCAATGCAGCTGGCAGTAAGTGTTAGGACCACGAGTAAATGTGATTGTTGTTTAATGTTGCTAAAGTGACAAAAGTTGTATCATGTCTGAAAGGTGGTAAGGCAGCAGGATTGGATGGAGTAAGTGCTGAAATGATTAAGTATGGTGGGAGGGAGGTTGTAGATTGTGTGACTTGTTGAACATTTGCTGGCATGACAGGTGTAACTGTGCCAACTACCGTGCAATAACCTGCTCAGCATTCCAGGTAAGATGTATGGGGAAACTGTTGGTATGTCACCTACAGTGAGTGGGTTGTGCAGGGTGGTTTCAGGAGTGGTAGAGGATGTGTGGATCAATTGTTTTCTTTGCAGCTGATCATTGAGAAGCACTTGGAAGTTGGAAAGAAAGTTTTTAGTATGTTTGTTGAGATCAAAGCATATGGAAGGTGTTGAGTGAGTATGGAGTATCTGAAAAGTTGCTGTGTGCACTGAAGTCAATGTATGGGAACTGTCAGGCATGTGTGTCCTACCTCCTCCTCTGAATTCTTTGCAATTCAGAAGGGGGTGTGTGATGAGTCTGTGGCTGTTTAATAACTTTTTGGATACAGGGGTGTGTGAAAGTTGGGAATGAAAAAGTGCATATTGTTGTATGCAGTGCTGCTAAGTGAAAGTGAGGAGAAAAAGTATGCTTAGCTGATTTTAACAAGGTGTTGCAAGGGAAAGGGCTATGAATAAATGCTAATAAGATTAAGTGCATGGTGTTTGAACCAGGGCTGTGGAGTTGAAGTTGGGAGGAATTTCCTGCCAGAGGAGTAGGAGTCGACACATTTTTTTCCGTCTCCAACTCCCACATTTTACATTTAGTATAAATACAAAATGTATCAATTTAATTCACTAAATATGTAAAAATGTTTAGTACTTAAATTATTTTAACCCAATTGAATTTGAATATTTTTGAATCATTACTCAATTTTTCTGAACAAGGGGCTGAAGTATCTAGCTAGATCACACACTTTTTAGTTGGACTAACTCTTCTGGAAAGGTGAAATTGAAGTGCAAATGCTATCAAATATATGTAGATGTAGAATTTTATCGTCCCCTTTCTCCTCTTATTAAGTATTTATTAGTATAAAAAAATTAATTTTTAACAAATATTAAAGTAAGTTAAATATTAAAAATACTAACTATAAAAGTATTTGGATAAATGCCCCAGGCTCCTTTCAGAGTGCAGAATAGGGTATCCCCTATGAGCGCCTCTGCCTCCCATAAAAGACTTGGTATTTAATTTTTCTGGAGTCCAGAGTCGGCCTATAAAATTATCAGAAGTCGGAATTGAGTGTTTTTTTACCGATTCTGAAGCCCTGGTTTGAACATGCTAAGGTTGACAGGATGGTATAAACATGGAACAAGTGGACAATTTTGTATACTTGGGGAGCAGAGTGATGGTGGGTTGAAGGGGGAGAAAGCCAGGAGAAAAGCATCTGGACTGAAAGTCGTTGGTGCGTTTAACTGCCTGCTTCAAAACGAGTGTACGTCTAAGAGTAAGATTATCTGTGTGCAAGCAAGTGCTGTTACCTTCCTTGTTGTATTGATATGAAATGTGGGCGTGACAGAAGAAAACTGAAAGTGGAGTGAACGCCGAGTGCAGTTTGTGGCAAGATACTCTTGGATAGGATAAGGAATGAAAGGATTTATGAGTTGTGTGGAATGCAAAACAAGCGACTGAGTGGGCACAATCTATGTTGTTAAGGTTTGGACAAGTGGAGCCCATGAACAATGAACGACAAGCAAGCGACCTATGGGCCACCCACCAAAGAAATGGACAGAAGGTGTGCGAGATGCTTTGATTGCAAAGAACATCAAGTATGCATGGACGAAGTCAGCATAAATGTGTATGAGAGGTCTCAATGAGTGTGGAAGAAGCGAGAGAAGTATGTTTGGATCAAGCAGTGTGGAGGCAGCTCATTCACTGCCAACCCAAAAGGGAAAAGCATGAATATACTGTACATATGTATGTATGAAAGACAATTATAGAGCCCAAGTTTTTTTTGGCTATTTATATAATAAGCTTTACAAATCTGGTCTCAGTTTTTGAGCGTAAGGAAGGAATAAAAGTCAACAGTGACAATTTATAAGTATACAACTTTCTCAAATTGCAGCCTAAAAGAACATTATTCTGCCAACTAAGCTATGCAGAGTATGTGAAGATAAGTCTGCATGCTGATGGAACTTTTTGAAATATTCCTGTATGCAATCTATGAAAAATATACAAATTAACATACATAGTAAATAATTGTGGCCGCATGTGAAAAAATATTTTTTAATTCCTATTCTAAATATATAATCATCATAGAAAATGCTGCAAAGCAGAGCACGATATACGAGATAACTCGTAACTGGCAATCAACATGTTAAACCAATGATTGATGCCAAAAGTTTTCGTTAAATTGCAGGTGTATTTATTACCATCTGGAAACATAAGGTGTCAATGAGTTGATTTTGCTTTCTCGTGTAATTGAAATGAAAAGATTATTCTAAGATAGTGACATATTTGTTGGAACTTTGATAAATAAGAAATGTGTTATGCCATAAATTTGCTTACCAAACATCGTTATGTGTCTCTTTTCCAGAATTCCCAGCTGTCGTTTGTCGGAACTGACTTCCCCCAGCCTGCATCGGATTCGGAAAAACGAATTTACGTGATTGCCCAGGTGGAAGTCTCCCTTTCTCAGTAGACGTTGCCCTCCGCAACTCTCTCTCCCTTCTGGCTGATACATGTATATGACAATGTTCTTCTCCACGTCCGAAACTAAAATAAAATTTTATGTTAGTGGGACAGTTGGAAACATATTGTTCCGAACGGACAAGGTGCTTACCGACAAATCCCACTTGATTATTGTCGACTAGAAATTCGGTTGCATAGACTTCTAGTGGTTTTACGTCCTGAAAAATATGTAATGTGATCATTGCCGTCGCAAATTTCTTTGGTGGTGGAAAAAATCTGAAAACGTACCTTACTGACTAGAGACAGGGTTCTGCTTTCTTCTTGGTATCTCAACAGTGATATCGACTTGTAAATATCTGCTACGAGAATCAAGTTTTTGATACACATCGCAGAATGAATGTAAATTTGTGTATCAATAAAAGCGATTCCCACCAGATCATTATCTTTCAACTGCCAGATATAAACCTACGAGAAATTCGGACATTGAGATGGTGTCTGAGTGACGACAATAAAAATTTCACCTTACCTTTTGTCCAATTGCACTGAGCAAAAAGCCTACAACTTGGGATATGGCAGTTACTGGTCCTTTCTGTTCTTTGCTGTATAGAACCTAGAAGCGGACTAAGATGTTAACCAATTCCGCAAATTAATCTCTGTGTTGAGGATGACGATAAAGCGAATGCTTACCTTAATTTTATTTTTGGTTAGCGGTTGTCCCGGTTCCGGTACGACGTCAATAATATCTAGTATAAGAATCTGAAACAAACATTATGTTATTTTGTGTTGCTCAGAAGTCTAATTATTAATTACTAAGCTCTTGTAACATACCCTTCCTCTACTGGTAACGTCTTCACCATAATTATAGTTAGTACCGATGGCCAGATAACCTTTCAGACCACTTCTGGTCCCTTCGGACATGAGCATGACATTTTTCACACAGGTGACGTGCTCCCATTCTTCAAGCTCTATTCGCGTGTTGGGAATCGTTTCCCAACTTACGGGAGAAAAGAGCTGAATGGTAAACTTTTCGGTGTACGGATAGAGAAATCGCTCGTCTGTAATAAACACTCTTAGTAATGATAGGTCCTTTGATTGGATACAATAAATTTAAAAACACTTACCCCTTTCCAGCACTTCAAATTCTTTCTCGTCTCCGTTGAATCGAACCAGACGTGTACATTGCTCCATGCTGCTCGTTACGATGCAGTAGGTCTTTGTTTCTGGATGGTAGTTCACGAAATGGGGCGTGTTTCGCAGTGGAACCTTTCTGACCGGCCAGGCGGAATCGTAAGACAAGTGAGTGGGCAAGACACAAATACGCAGTTCCCCCTGTAAATATAGAAAATTGTATAAAGCAAACTGCGGCTGGATACAGAGATGTGTAAAAGAATGGCTTTACCTGTCTATTGAAGTACAAAAATCCTTTCAGGCAGTTGACATTGTGGAACGGAGCAAAGCAAGTTATTGCACCGTCGATTCCCATCTGATGAATACGCAACTCTCCGTGAGAGGTCATGAAGAGCCAATGAGGATAAGGCCCACAAATAAAAACCTAAAAGAATGATATTGAATTATGGAAACATCAATCAACAGTAAGTCTAAGACATATTTTTGATTACCCCACTATATCCAGAAATGTCTCTAAATGGTCGTAACCATCTCTGATGGCTGCGAGCTCGTTCCTGATCGCGGGATTCCTGGTTTCTCATCTTCCTTTCTTTCCTCTCTCTCAAGATCATATCATGCGCCACCTTTAACAAATTTTTTTCTTTTAATTTAGTTTTTCCATGCATTAAACATTTAATTTTCCAGTACTTAATACTTACTTTTCTGAAACGTAATTTTAAGTGATTGTCAGTTTGATTTTCATAAAAAGGGAATGCTTCGTACATTACCAACTCCTCATCGATCCGAGCCTAGAATAAACACTTATGGCGGCCAGAAATTCTTATGCAAGATCCCGCTAAGAATGCAACTTACCAGGAGGAGGGGCCTTGAATGCATGGGACCGAGTCCGATTACAAGTATCTCGTGCACCAGCGGCAAGGAGTCGTGCTGTTTCTCATACTGTTTCTCTCCAGAGCTAATTCGTAATAAACGATTTTAACTTGTTAGATTTGTATTTAATTGGTTAAAAAATTTGTATCGGAATTACGATTCGTACTTTGTCGCAGACATTGCAGTAATCTGTATACTATCCACCAGTAGTTTCTGACCCATCGGAAAATTTTTTACCAGGTAGCTTAGTTTATAGTCCGGGAGCGAATAGATCTGTTTAAAAAATAATGCATAAATTTAAAAATGCAATGACAACAACAAACGAGAAGTCCAGAAAATATTATAACCTCTAGAACTCCATTTTCTCTCACAATGAATAGCCAATACGTTGGCTTGATCTCTTTCACTTCGACAACTTTTCTGCAAACAAAAATTACCATAAATTGTGAATTTATGCAATACAATACGATTATAATTCCAGTCAATCTGCAAAAGTACAGTGTTATTCAAAGGAGGTCCAATCTCAGTGATTTTTATAATGACAAATATTTTGATAGTATCATATATTTGGTGAACCACACGATGCTTCTAACATGTTTGCGTACTCCAATCATTTGCACTTTGAATCACACAAACTGTATCCGCAAACTTTCACATGTGGTTTGACCACATTAACCTGACAGGCGTGATGAAGGACACACTGAATGCTCGCGGGATGGAAAGTTAAAACAAAATTTGAATAGTAAGAGCTTACTTTTTTGGTTTTGCATCCACAACTTTGCTGATTTCATTTTCAGTGGAAGTGGTAGGTTCTCCATACAGTAATGCATCCTCGTCGTCCATGTCACTAAATGAAATGCAAGGAAAACAAAGATCTTTAATTTGCGACTTACTTTTGTTTAGTTTCTTGTGACAATGATAATTATAAAAATTGGATTACAGTATATGAGGTAAGATCCAAAAATTCAAAGACTGCACTCGCCCATGACGATACAAGTACGTCCATTCGGAATTTATTTGAGGGCAAAGCAGTGAACAAGGAGTGTTTATCTAGACATTTGACATCATTTGTGTGAGCCCATCCACCATAAATGGCCCAAGATGTAGCATAGTAAACAATGGTTTTAATATACTTGCAAGTGGATTATTCTGAAAGGTGGTTGGAGGTTGTGTTTTAAAATACTCAAGGCAAGGAACCTATGTGCCAGACTTTTTGGGTCTTACCTCAAATATGTGTATATTTGGAACACTTTAATATATTTCAGCTTTGTAATAATGATTATAAGGGCTTTAAATCTCATAGGCCCAAGATATATAGAGATAAAATTTCTCTACATTTATATACATACTAATTACACTAAAAAAGTAATCACCTCTTTGGTAGATTTAATGTACTAGGTAATGTTATGTTGTTGTTCATTGTAGAACTGGGTGGCGGTTCAGTCTCAATGACTTCACGAGGAGAGACGGTAAATAGTCCACTCACATCCTTATATACGCAGAGAGTCAGTATTTTTGATTTCTACATAAAACCACCAAATCAATTTTGGTTAAAAAGTGACCGATTTATGTAAAATAAAATTGTTTAATATCGTCTGTGGTACTTACAATGGCAGCCAGTTGTGGACGCGATGCCACCAGTGGAGAATTCGTGGCCGAAGGATCCTGTCTCAATGTCAACTGTATGACCAATCCTTCTTCACTCATGATCAGAGCATAGGGATCGCACACAGAACTCCACACTATGGGAGAGCCTACATCTAGAGGAATGTGCTGTAACTGTCTGCATCCAGAGAGGAGTCGCACTCCCATGGGAGATACTTGCAAAATGTACTTGTTGTCACCCAGATTTCCAGCAAATATAGTAGAAGCCTGAGTGCTGAAACCACTGTGATCCAATTCGTTGATTTCCTGACCAGTTTGTAGGATCTGTTCCAAAGATTTATAAGCAATGGCAAATAAGACTATAATTTATTAAACAGTTTTCAATGTATCACTTCAATACTCACCATACTACTGTCCATACGACTCAAGATCAGAAATGCATGAGTGGACATAGAATCATCCTTCTTTGGTTTCTCTTTCTCTTCAGATTTCACATCATCCAGATAATACTAAAATTTCAGTTTTATTCCATAATAAAAACAGTGATTATCCTATCTAACAAGTGACTTTTTGGCCACACCACATGCTGGCTGCAATTAAGAATCAATAACTAATTACCTACCTCTTGTTCTCTTTTGTCCACACTTGGTCCAAAAACCGTCCACATGTCCACACATCCGGGCAATTCAAAAGTTGTCACAACTTGCGGTCTTACCGACCTCTGAATGAAAAATATTTTATCCCTCAAACAGCTCGTAATTTGGCGCACACACACGCAGAATTAAATGAATACATTACCTGCAAGACACATATGGCACCATTTTTGCTGTAACCGGCCGTGGAAACCAGTTCGAGATCTGGATCAGGATTATTCGAGAATTCTTCTGACTGGAATGCAGGCTCGCCCATGCATATCCTCCCACAGGGTCCAACGTTTAGAAGACTGTCACAAACCTTAAATATGGAAAATGTGATTTTCTCTGTTGAATATTATTTTTACGTCGTAGTCAAACCTCACTAATGTGTGTTTTTTAATATCATACACAAATGATGTTCATTTAGTACAATTAAAACAGATCTAGTGATCAGAAAATGCCAGATTAACAGTTTCTGATCATTGGATTTGACTTTACACTTCTCAATTTATATTTCTGGGTGCCAATTTAAGAGATTGGTGATTTACCAGTTAAAACTAAAAAACACAAGCCCACCCGAAGGGAAGGAATACATCTGTGATCTATATGTGCACGTAACACAGCATATATTGATGTGCATTCACCACAAACACACACAGTTATTGAGAAAATTAATTAAAAATACCTCGAATGTATAAGAAGTGATCTGTTTTGTAGTCTGCGTTTCACTCCCATACACTTCCAACTCTTCGGGATCTTCAATAAGAGCAACATCGGATGCTAGAACCAAGCATTAATTTTTGTCATCGTTCACAATAATGATGCTTATTCTAAAAATTAAAAAATTACCCATCCAGTCGTCCATGTTATCTAATCTTTTCTTCTTAATGGGACGTTCCTCGGGCTGTAAATTAGACAAACAAAATATTAGGAATGTCTGTCAAATAATACTTAAAAGATACAGCATAACGTACACTCCTATGATAATTTAAATATGTTCTCCATCCTACGGGCACTAAGAGGGCTGTTTTTAGCAAGTTCATTATGGGTTCAGCCAGAAGCATGATGAGGAGGCCAGGCAGTGAGAGACAGAGCCCTATCCAGATGAACTGAAAAAATTCCTGGAGTTTTTTGATCTATCTGGGTTTGATCCCAGGTCCCTCGGAGCAGCAGGCTTCCATTTTAACCATTCTGCCATCTGGCCGTATAATATTTAAATATTGGGACAATATTTTTTCTGTTACTATTAAAAATATCTATTCTGCTTATTCTAATATACACTTCTCATACAAAACACTTAGCCATCTCTCGTACAAGACCCAGAAGTCATACATGCTGTGTTTCCACTTTGCAGTAGACAGCATTACTACTTTCTCATGGACGTTCTGGTTTTCAGACTATGGTGTTAACCTAGGAGAAACTGTAATACTGTACAGTACATAAAACAAATCTTTTCCACTGTACAGTAACTTTTTGTATACCTTGTATTAAAATTGATATATGGAGAGAATCGGCTGTCAATGAAAAACTTACATAACCTACATACACTTCTATGTTAATTTTAGAATAAATGAGAAAAATCTGGAAAACATTTTTATACATTCAACACATTACCTAGAAATGTTTTTATAAAGAACATACTTTGTTACATAATTATTTTAACTTCATCATTAGTAAATTTACTCACAATCCCATCTCTTCTGGCAGTTCTCACACGAATTTTCTAAGAAATCAACCAATAAAAATGGTTCAAGTTCATCTAATTTAAAATATCTATTGCCAATTAAAAAATATATTTCTCCCTTTACAACTACTATTTCTAAATTAAAGAGTTAATTGTTTGTTTTTAGAAATTAAGAATGCTATTAATAACTTATGCATGTTTCCATTAGAGGTATTTAACGTACTATCTGTTTTTTTTTAATAAAAACATAAGTCCCATAGTAACTTCTAATTTCTTGCATCTTCTTTTCTAACTCTTTGGTAAAGTTTTATCCATTCTGAATGGTTATCACACTTGTTACGTGCTGGTGTTGGTTTTATGAGTGATATATTACACCTATTCCAAAGGAGTCAAATACCTTTCAGGTCAATAGCTATATCGTCTGCAATGTCATGTTCAAACACCTATTATTTCGAGACAGTTGGCAGTTTGACATTGCAGCATCCAGGTTGTTCCATGCTTGAGTAACTATATTAAAATACATGGAGGAAAAATTGTCTGCGTATGCTATTTAAAAAGATATATTTAGTGCTTTTGACTGTTTTACCATCCACAATTATCAATATTTAAGTTACATAACACTAATATCGCAATCTGTAGTTGCTTAATGTATCTCAATATGGGCATTGGCAGCCTCTTTCCTTCTCTGTAAAGTAAGTCTAGCTCTACCTAAGATATATTTATTGCTCAATAAACTAATTTACCAGCTAATTAATAGAAAATAAAGAATATTAGTGATTTTTACCTCTGGTCTCGCTTGTCTCACTTCCTCCAATGAATTGTCTTGTACTTTTTCAGTGTATCTCAATAGTAAAGAATTTCCCAATCGAGATCCGAGGAAGAGATATCCGTCTTCGCACAATGTCATCTGCAGTAATATTTATTAGATATTTTGTTAGCTATTTGGTTACAGCTCATTATAGATAATGAAATCTAGAGCATGAACATAACTTACACATGTTGTTAAGACACTTGCCGCAGCTCTATCAAAGTTGAAACTGCGAACACTACGCATTCCGTCGTTAAACAGTGTGACGACATATCTAGGATAACAACGGAGGTTTTAAGTAATTTATAAGATAATTAACATAGTAAAATCTATCTAAACTTACAATTCTCCTCCCTTTAATGAAATCACAATCTTGTCGTAAGAAAAAAAGCATGCCTGTGCACAGTCAAGAGTGATTCTGACATTATCCTGCTGCTCTGAAAAGATACATAAAGACCAGTGCTACTTATCACAGATCGGTGATAACAATAGTCTATAGTGTTTTAACTACATAGAATGCAGCTATCGTGTATTTTTGATGAGCAATGTATTGTTCCTATTGTAACAAAGCTTGGCCACCCTGACTATATAGTCTAAACACTGCTATATCTTTAATAGTTAGGTCTAATCCTTAACTTACCTATATACAGAATCTACAGAGAATTGTAATTGTCTGTAGATTCTGTATATAGGTTACATTATTTACTTATGTAATAATTACTTACTTAGTGGAAATGCAGTACTAGTTTCTGTAAAACTATTGAGTGCCACTCCGTAAGGTGGAACACTCTGATTTAGATATAGCAAAGAATTAACTGCAAATATCAATACTCCACCTGAAATGAAACATTTTAATCAATATATTTAAAAAATACTCAAAACAATATAAAAATTTAAAATTTTACCAAGTGGTTTTGGTACTGGAATTGCCTGTAGACAGTCAAACGGAAGGCTACTCAGAGACCAAATGACAGGATGCACTTTTTGATGAATATTAAGTGAAAGAGCAATGATTGCAAAAGTGTCACGCCTCACTGCAACTCTCCTAAGAATTTAATGATTCTAAAATTATTACTTTATTCAAAGGACGGTCAAATTAAACTGATCTAATGCATTAATTTACACTAACCCAGGCCAGGTTCGTAACGGTTCGTATAATAAAAGCAGAGTTGGCTCGTAATATCCGTGTAAAAATTGAATATCGATCACATTATTCATCTTTTCATCAATATCTGTTAGTTTAATAGAATAAGAGGCCAGCACTGGCGATTTGCTAAAGTAGTTATTAGTAAAAATAAGATCAATAATTTATTTTTGTCCAATTATGCATAAAATCTAGCTTTGTTACCTAGCAACGCTTATGTTGTTTTCCTGTTCGTCGGCATTAGTTTCTCTTCGAAAGGGAAGAATAACAATGCTCCGACCGTAGATTATCATAGCGGCGCATCTTCCGTCGGGATCGACGGCAACAAAAGGAAGATGATAATGGTGCGTAAAGCCGGCCTAACAAACATAAAAAATTAAAACGAGAAACAAGCAATAATTTTTTGTGTGAATGTTGTAATACCTTCATGGCATCCTCTTCAAAATAATGAAGCGAGAGGGTCTTTAGATCGTGAGTGGCTGGATCGTATTCGACGACAGACAACTAAATAATTAATTGTTTTATATAGAATTGTACTGTATGTTTTAAATGTAGAAAATTTTTTTTTTAAACCTTACCTTTGCATCTCTGAAACTCAGTAACAGAGCATCTCTTGAAGCGCCTGTAAATCTCACGGATTTCATGGAAATGATGATGCCAAATAAAGGAAATGTCTGTAGACATTCTAATTTCAATTTCGGTGAACTGCTGCTGACTTTATCAGGTGGCTAAAATATAAATTTATATAATTAAAATTCTTTAATGTCCATAGACTTGTGTAAAAAACTAAATGATAAAAACCTGAAACCAAAGCATTACTTAAATGTTTGAGAGGTTTATTATTATTATTTTATTTTTTGTCTTTCCACCCTGTGAGACACTAAGAGGGTCTCTTTTAGCAGAACCATTATGGGTTTGGCCAGGCCCACAAAGGATTCCGGATGGTGAAGGATGGGTTTGATATATATGAGATGGACCAACCCTAAAGTATTTGAGGAGTTTTTCAACCTTTATAGATTCAATCCCAGTTCTCCCAGAGTAGTATAAGCTGCCACCTTATTTACTCAACCACCTGGTAGTCTTTAATATTTTAGGGGATGATATATCTGCAAGAATTCCTTCTTGCAGATATATTATTATCTGTTGAACCAGGAACAATATCTTAATGTAGGGGTTGTCATCAGCAGTTGGCAACAGACATTGTCATCTTGCCTCCCATGACCTTGAACCACCCATGGGCATTTGTGAGGACGTGGCATTAGCAGGCAACTGCACCTACTTCTGTAGCTTTTTGTCCTTTTGTGTGTAATCCTATCCCTCTCTCTTCTTATGCATGCTCTGCCAAGACATTCTTCGTTCTTTCTTGTGCCAGCAATTATGTAGAAAGCATGCAATTTGTAATAATTAGCTAACTTGCAGTGCATTTGCAGGTGATTGTGTGTAACAAAAATTTTGCAAATACAATACAGTCGACCCCCCTATAACACTGTTGATTATTCCGTTTTATATGAATTCCATATTGTACGAGTCACTTAGATTTTACAAATACGTGTGCCAGGCTGCGAACGGCTCACATATTTGTAAAATCTAAGTGACTCATACAATATGGAATTCATATAAAACGGAATAATCAACAGTGTTATAGGGGGGAGTCGACTGGTAGATTATTTCTGGCACCTTATATATTAGTTACTAAGTTAACTTCTAAATATTTTTTCTTCTTGTCTGCAATGAATATATATTGATGTGGCCTAAATTTGGCCAATTTTTCCAGACTTATTTCTTTCATTAGTCCAACCAATTTGCATAGATGACTATAGACTGAAAATTCTAGCACATATATAAAGATAACACGATGATCCTATTCTTAACGACAATTGTTACTTCAAACAAGCACATTTACCTCAGAATTAATGGGTTTTAGAAAAAAAAAAAGACCAGCTGGTTTTTTAACGCACAAGTATATAAAGTTTAATTGTACACAGTACTAATTAACAGCATTACAGGTAATATGATGATCTTGTTCTCAAAAGAATCATTTAGCTGACAACTGTTTTCCTCTTAAATAACAAGATGTTTAGAGAAAAAAGGAAACTGGTGGTAACACACAAGTAGAAAAGAGTTCACAAAATAGTTAAAAATACAGTTGATTAAAAGGTTGAATAAAATGTTCCACCTTTTCTCTTTCTTAAGCCATATCAAGATATATTACTAAGTTTAAGCCATAAGTACAAATGACTCCAGAGTTCCCCTTATAAAGATGTGGGTTCAGCACTTGCCTCTTTTTCCATAATTTCTTTAACTTCTTCACTTACCAGTGTAGATAGTGTAGTACTCGCTGTACTAATAGTTAGCACTTTTAGCCTGGCCAACCGGCTGATTGTGTGGAGTTTTCCGGGTTTCCTCCACACAATATAACCTGAATGCGAACCAGCTTCTGAGAAGACCTCCCATAAAGCAGACTTTGGCAAAAATGTATAAGTTGTAGCCAGTGACCGCAATCAAAATTAATTATTTTGAGTTAGTTGTCATTGATGTTTCCACAGCTGCAGAAGTTCTTTAGCTCTGGACAGCATGTATTGATTTATACAAATATGTAATACTTAGCTGCAATGCCCTATCACAAGGCATGTGTAGTTCAACTTAAAAGTACACTATTAATACATTAACATACATCCATAAACCTCTTAGTGCTCTCAGAGCACTAAGAGGTTTATGGGGCCTTTGGCAAAAGGAAAAAATATCTTAATGCACATAAACTACTCCCAGATCAGCAATTTTATATAAACAATTCACTGCGATTGATGCAAGTGTTGTTTAAAATTTTTCTGCTGTAAAGCAACAATATTTTTATAGATAACTGTGTAGAAAACGCTTGTTAAAACATCACACCAATGCCGAAATTCATAAAAATATACTGTTTTTATTTTAATTTACTTCGTATTTTTGTAAGAAGAAAGCTATAGAAAGACTATATAAACTCTATTTATTTATTAAAACTAACTGCTTTAGATACTGCTTGAACAGAGCATAACTTTTAAAGTACTAGAATACATGGTATACACAATCCTAGTTACTATTTAATAACCTTTTCACACCTGCAAACTGGCAGAAGGTTAAAAATAAATTTTCTTAGACTTAAACTGCTTAGACGCAGATGGCACATGCGACTGTCATAACTTTATTTAAACAACTGCAATAATAAAATATAAATGAAGACNTTCTAGAAAATATTAGACTTGTTTTTAATCCTTGAATCTATTCCTAAATTATTAGCACCGAGTTCAGTCATGCGAAGTAATGACAATATTTTTACAGCATGTTTTACAGGGCTAAGGGATCCAAAAATGTCTCATAAACAAACCCTTCAACCTTAATGTTTTGGCGCTATAAAGTGATAAAATTTAAACTAGATAGATTTAACAATGTTGCTCTCTGCATTACTTTGAAGCGCCGCGGAAAAGCCTCAATCTCTGTCCTTCAGACTCTGTACTGTACCAAAGAGCCATTATACTAATAACAATACTTTCTATTGAAAATTGTTGTAATACAACCCAAGTTTAATATCATAACAATGCAGATTTATTAACTGTTACAGTTGAGCAGTAATACTCAGAAACTTCTTTCTTAACATACAGACAAAGAACATACAGAAAAATTTCTTACATGTCCGTTAATACCAGTAATAAATAAATGCTATTAAATAATATTGTTACATTAACACATATATTAAAATATATAAACAGAAAAATGCTATTGCAAGGTTGAATGCTGAATATTCAAATAAATGCTTAAATAATTTAAAATAAATATTATTAGAAAAGTTAATAATTTTATTTAACACGAACTTTCTGGATATTAAAAATATAAATTGCGCCTAATTATTCAAAACGTCCTCTGAGAAATTATCAATAACTGCTTCGGCATAGTTCAGAAAATTCTGATAAATAATAATTTATCAGAATTATTTGATTATTTACAAATAACATTTCAATAGATTCATTGGAAAGGATTGACGAATAATGTCTCCCGGAAATTTTTTTTTATTGAAAAGTGTCCTCTATTCAGATGCTACATGCCTGAGAAAGCCTGGAAAACTCCACGTGGCTAGCCCGTTGGTTAAGCAGAACCTGCGATCAGTGTTAATAATGGGCTATCTGAGATACACTGTCCATGAAAAATTTCATGGATAGTGTATCTCAGATAGCCCATCATTAACACTGGTCATTCGGCCATCCAGGTGACGAGAGATATTTTTAGAAATTAGAAGTGTAATTAATATAATATATTCAAGGAAATAATTAATAGTAACTAATTGTACGTAAGTTCATTCATATCGATTGAAAATTTAAAGCTAACGTTTAAAATTTTTAAATTTTAAACAATTTATAAAATAATAATGTTTAGGAATTATAAAGTGTCGAAATAATTCACATTGAAAGATTCAGAAAGGTCACTTTCAGAATCACTAATAACTTCATTCATAACTTAAGTATCTTGTGCATCTCAAACAAACTTTATTTGGCTGCAATTTGAAAAACTGCAGACTTATAAATTCCATTGTCTGTCTAGTTGTCTGTCCTCCCTCCATCTCGAGACGTTGTCAGATAAATGACTGCTGAGTCAGATATGGAAAGAATTTTGGTAGGAGGCCTCAATTAACTATATATAATCTCAGGCCCGTCTTTGGTACGTGCGCGACCCTAAGCCAAGAAAAGTTCGGAGGCCTCCTTAAGGAATTCGTAATGGAATGTTAAACGAGATCATTTTGACATAGAGTAAATAGGGATAGGGGAACACGCGACTAAAAAAAAACAAATTTTCTTTAATTTAGATAAAATAAACTAAATTTAAATTTAAACTGCTAGAGTCGGCACATTTTCCCCAACTCCGACTCCTCTGGACAAGAATTCCATCCGACTCCGACTCCACAGCCCTGAGGGGAACACACTATTTCAATTCTAAAATACAATTTAGAGAGCTAAGATAGTTCCTGTGGCAAAGAATTCAACTTCTGAGGTCACGGTAGTTGAAATATTTGCCACTGATTAAGCTGATGGGTCTTCCACAAAATGGATTACCATATAAGAATATAACCTTACCTCTACTTCGGGAGTCAATTTGAAAACTCTTAAATAAGATGCTCCTGCTACCAATAAATTCTGCTCTTGCAAGTTATAGAAATTGCAATAGAGGCAATGTTCGACTGCAGTGGGAGGATGAATTTGCTTGCAGATTGCATAAATGTTGGAAGTCATGATGATGATTTTATTTCACCTGTAAATAATATTAATTATCAATATTTTTAATTCAATTTTATTAATAAATATCACATTTTATCCTAAATTATTGCACAATTTGACAATGTTTATGAAGCCAAAATGCTTTGGTTCAGTTTATAAATTGAAATTTATAATCTAAAATCATCAGATGATGCTGCATCTCAGGTTCAAAAGCATTAATCTTATAATAACAAGAATAATAATATTTATTTGTGGCACTATTTTGTCTGCATAAAGCACTTGTTGAATTTCATCTTCCCTCTCAACTTTTCTTCACAAAATTTTTTAATTATATGCTTTCCGACAAACTTCTTCCATTGTATTTTACAAAAGAGTTTGCAAAACTCAGCAAATTTCTTCCGAATGGCCATAAAAGTATATTTTATGGCCATTCGAAAGCAAGCAGATATGCGACATCACTATCTGCAGATCAATCATAACTTCACATTTGGTTATTTCCATTTTCAAAATAATAATTAAATTGTTTTATTGATTTACTAAGAACATGTGATCTAACTAATGACCTGCAATTGGCTAAAATTGTCATTAATATTCAATTGATGTCCCGTTAACCAAATAACAGTAATTTAGTTTATTGTTTCTGATATAAAACCTAATGACAGGAATATTTTGAAAATACAGTGGTACCTCGGTATACGTCTGCTTTAGAATATGTCCAATTCGGAATACGTCCTGTTTGGACGAAACAAATTTTGCTCGGTATACGACTTTTGTTCGGTATACGACATAATTCAATTATACGCGCCATCAATGAACAAGTAGCACTATCGGTGTACTAGACCAGACTAGACGTTCGCGGTGCAACGGTTTATAACTTTGTTAAATTTCTTCTGATTTTAATTCGTAAGTAAAATTTTATTATTTTTATTAATCACGAATCCCAAAAAGGCAAATGAAAAGCGACAGAAAACTAAAAAAATGACTAGAATTACAATGGAACTGATGAAAGAGATTGTTGAGAAATACGAAGGTGGCACGCGTGTTCGAGATTTTAACTGTTGTTTACCGTATTCCGAGAACGACGATATGGACAATCGCGAAAAATAAAGACATTATTAAATCTGCTAACGTTGCGAAAGGGGTTAAATCAATTTCTAAACAGAGATCGAAGACATTAGATCATGTCGAGAAATTGCTTTTGCTTTGGATAACTGAAAAACAGTGCTGGAGACAGCGTATCGGAAGCAATTATTTGCCAGAAAGCTAAAAAGATACACGCTGATCTCACGAAAATCAAGCAGGAACTAGCCAGGAAAGTGAGGTATTTAAAGCCAGCCATTTTTTTTTACACGAGAATGGATTAATCATTTTTACATTACTTCTTATGGGAAAGGTTGGTTTGGTATACGTCCAATTCAGTATAAGTACAAACATCGGGAACGGATTAAGGTCGTATACCGAGGTTCCACTGTATTTTAAAAAATTCTTCTAATTATTTTCAAACATTGAAAATAGATGGTTTTGATACAGATTGCTCTATATAAGTATAATGGCCAAACTGCAGTTTATGAGCCATGCACAATTCTTCTAGCCCCTTACTGCAGTTCCCATATACAGCTGTCCCTTGATAATCCGACAGGTATGGGACCAAAGGGGTGTCGGATTACCAAAAGTGTCCGGATTAACGAAAGTGATTACATATTTGGCATTGTTTTGCTAGCAGTAGCCTACAATATTCCCTACTCCAACTGTTCATGGAAAACACACAAAATGTGTGTCATCATGTAAGAATTGGGTGGGAAGATTCATGTCACAACATGCTTCTGTGCAAGCAGACATGTAACGGGGACGGGTACCTTGAAGGGAGGTGCGTCGAACTACTGAGCATGTCAGATTACAAAATGTTGGACTATCAAGGGACAGCTATACTTATACAAATTCCTTTTTCTAAATTTGGTATATATTATATAAATACATGTACAAAAAGCTAAGTCACACTACTGTCTATTGATGTTACAGAACATATTCCATATGCCGACAGACAGTCGTACAACTTAGCTTTTTATACTAGTACTTGGTGTCTAGTTTTCTATATTTTATTGCTTACATACACATAACATTTTTGTAAGTTTGCTGACTATTATCATGTAATATCCATATGGATTGTAAGCATAACTTGAAACTTAAACTTGAACAGGCAACTGAAAGCTAGGATATGTTCATAAAGTACCAGTGAAGTAATGGTGACATTGAACATAAAACAGTGAAAATTTCTGTAGTATTTTTACTATACATTAATGTAGTAATTAAAATTTCATTCTGATAGCAGATGTGGCTCTTGTGTATTTCCAATAGGCAATGTATGGCTCCTATAATAGCAAGGTTAGCCAATCCTGGTATATACTGTATTTTTACGAACTATAAGACATACTTTTTTCTTCGAAAAATTGCCTTCAAATTTCAGGTGCGTCTTATACTCGAAATTAATATAAAAATGTCCAGTGTTTGATTTAAAATTCCCACCAGTCTTAAAAAACGGCCATATATTTGATGCTGCGGAAAACCTATCTCTATCTGGCAACATTGAATTCAACTGGCAGCAGCAGTGCACCGATGCAATGAACATGGGTGCGTTCTTTCATTCCTCCACGCGAGCGACATCCGTTTAAAAATTCCTGCGGAATGCACTCCTAAATTCCGGTTGGAGTGTGCTCCATCAAAGGGCAAAAACGGCCACTTGTAGCAAAAGTTTGCGGTGGAAAGCAACATGGCGTCCTCCATGGCTCAGATAGTTTCATTTCGGGTCCATTACCGTATGTGGTTTTATGAATGAAAATTTAGAAATTGTGAAAGCACAAGTTAGTGCACGTGGTGATGTACGGTTAGTGTCTTTTCGAATTTTTCTCGTGGATATTTTGAATGCTCTTTCAACAAATAATCCATTTTATGGTTAAGTTTTACAATTGGGACTCTTCTTTTGTCTTTAAAAGCTCATATTTTAAAATTACAATATTTTCTTTAGTAGCTAACAAAAATAATGGTAAAAATGTTATTTTTTTAAAAAATTGCTTAAAAATTAAGATGCATTTTATAGCCCGTAAAATACGGTAATCATCAAATAACAAAGTAATATGCAGTTTTTGAACATGGTCAATGTTTTAATTGGTGGATTTGCTATTTTATACTTTTCTTAAGTTATACTAGTGTTTCCCAAAAATACACATTGGCTTTCTGAATTTGGTAACATTACACATGTGAATGACACTGTTGGGACGTTAACAGAACTGTAAAGCATATCCATATGACCAAAAAACTCAAAACAAACTATACCTTTATATGTGACACTTCACAAGATAGTCCCCAGAAATCCACCTACTTCCAGCACTCCTCAAATCCACCTACTACTACGAGCACTCCTCTAAGCTTATCTTGTGTTTAATGAACAGCCAAGCACGGTGATTAGAAATTCTAACGATATTTATCAGTAAAATGTCCAACATGCAACCCTTTGCAAGATATTCACCTCCAAATGTGGAACTCCAAAGCCGACAGTTCCGGTCGCCAACTCATTTGCAGACGTGACATCCACAAACAAGTTACATTTTACGCACGGTAACCAGTGCCTATGACACAAACTTCTATTGACTAAAAACAGCTTTCACCTCGAACCGATACCCCGCTTATTCTCCACGTTCCACGTCAGTCGAGGCACGACTACGCACGAAACACCTTCCAAGCTTACCGTCACTCCGCACACAGTCACATGCTCTGTTGCTACTATCACTCGCACCTCGGCACCCATACGGGGACGAACTTTACACCCCCTAACACTACATAACATCGAGTACTCCACTCAAATTAAGCATACCACTCGAAGCCATGTCGACCGAACGGTTAAACGGGACGGTCTCCGCAGAGCATGCGGCACGCCTCCCGATACGCCAACTTCAAGGGGCTATATCTCACGAAGGATCACGTGTAGAGGTATGGTTCCTTTGACTTTTTTCCTCCTATGGGCATGCTCTAAAGCTCTGTTAAGGTCCCAACAGCAGTGTGAAACTGTGGCAGAAAATGGAGTCATTTCTGAATATAAAACAGACAGTACGCTAATTCTATTAAATTTTAATCATTTTCGTGAGTTAAATTCAATTTAAATGTGAAAATATAAAGGAAATGTACATTCAACCAATTGATTTCCTAAGCCTCATATTATTAGACAACTGCCTGTGATTTGTGTGTCTGGTCCTTAATTATTGAATGTTTTCTTGTAATATTAAAGGTATAAGTTAAAAAATACTTACAATATAAGACGATGACAGACGGGAAATAAATATAAACACTTATTAATTACAGCATAACCAATAAACAAAACTTTCAAGCGTTTGAATTGTCAGCAGACATCTACACACGACGGACAACAGCGCCACCTGCCACTTATTTCACTTTAAAATTAATTTTAATAAAATTTAATTACTTTTTATATTAATTATAACTTCTTATAAATAATAATTTAATCGTAAAAGAAATAATCGTCCACATTTGCATAATTTTTTTATCTTTTTAAGAAAAAACCCAACGATCGTCTGTCTTTTTTTTTACGCCTATTGGTTCGTTTCGTCATTCTTTGCCGGGCAACGCCACCTATAACACAAGGCCTGCCGACAGGATTTATGACTCGTACTAAGCGGTCCATTCTCTCTCTCTCCATTCGCACGCACGCGGAATAGTTCAAATCTCTAGCTTACAGCGGAAATTGCGATAATTAATATTTCAGGATGGGGTAAAGATAAACACACAAAATTTGACATGGTGGATTGCACACGAGTGGCTTTGATGTGCTATTACATTTTGGTGGTGAAAGATCGAGAGGGGTAGGACTTTTTCGTAAAACTCATCCCTATGCTCAAAATTAGGCTTTTTCCCATTTTATAGTAATTAAAAATATAAAAAGTTTTTATAACAAAATCTGATAAAAGATGGCGCCACACGCAATATTTTTTTCTTAATAATGTAAATTTTTTTAAAATGAAATATCATATAACAGCCGGGAAAGTTATGCAACTCTCGTTGCTGCAGTTTTTGTATAGTAAATAATAAATTCTATAAAACTGTCTTTCTTTTAAAAAAGACTGTAATTTGATCCAGATAATTGGAATTTTACTGTATTAGCATACTGTACAATCAAAGATCTTTTACAATTATCGTAACTCGACGTCTTTTGGAAATGAAAAAAATGCTTAGTTTAGGCCCACCCTTATAATTTGTTCTGCATCCAGAAGCACAACACTAATACTGAAACACAGCAAATCAATACTCAACATACAGCCCGTCTTCCTCCACGTGTAAGACAACGTACAAAACGGCCTACTCGTGATGGCACAATATCCCTTGCTGGCATGCTGTTGACAAGCTTTTTGTTATAGGTGGAGTTGCGGAAGGACGCCATTTTTAATTTTAAATCGCCGATTGATGAGGTATCGATTGCAATGGATTAACATCGTTTTTCGCGAGGATGACGGTACGAAAGACCGAAAAATAGCAGCAGATGGAATTCCGCCATTTTACAGCAGCTCTGGAAGTAACTGTCACTATGAAAGTAGAGAATCAGGGGGCTGCCTTTCCCTAAAAAACTTTTTTTAAACTTACAAGCGCGGGCACACAAGTGCATTTGAAGTTTCTGGTTGTGGCATGAGACCATTCGAGATGACACAGATCCCCTCTATCTCCTCCTCGATGGATATTGGAGTGCCCTTGCAAAATAGACACTCGCACGTGCGCATAGAATTTTGTAAGGGTTTTTATCTGCTCTTATTAGGTGATGAGGGACTGGGCCTTACATATCCGAACGGACTAATGCTCGAAAATTTTCTGTGGTGTGGCCGGGCGATAATCCAGGAATCTTTTCAAGTGGATATACTCATAGATCTCGGGCTTCGACCCACCGCCTTATTGTGAGCCTGGCCAAATACATGAAATAATGACCCTCTAAGACCCTCTGAGGGCCCATGGGGAGGGAAAAAATCCCGAAACAGCTGGGCATTCAAGAGAATTAGTCACAAGTCACTTTAAATCCTGGTATGGTCCCTTATAAAAATTTTAAAACCTTTAAATCTTCAGAACAATATAAAATCTAAAACAAGTATAAGGAAATATATCCAATACATAGTATTTTACAATTAATGCCCTTAAATTCAGTCATTTGGTAAATTCGAGAGATTTTGTACTTTATTCATAAGGCGCACTCCATCACAAATACAGGACCACGGCTTACCGTTATAAAAATTATAGAAACAACACAAACATAAAACAATTTTATACCACTTATAAAAAGTTCTGTGTTTTTGGTACAGTATAAATCTGGAGGCCCTTCTATGCCCGGGACTATGTCAAATTGGCTCGCTTTCTTATTTCTATTACCTACTTCGCTCTATTTACACAGAGAGTGCATTTTACATGGAAACCATTACGTGATTGTGGTTTCAATCAGTAACGATGAGATCATGTATAAATCATGTATTTACCTCTTATTGTCACCTACCAAGGTCTATAAACATAAGGTCAAGACACGATACCGTGATGAATCGCAGCAGTCGCCATGTTGGGGCTCTTTTGGTGTGTACAGTGTTTTTAGAGGGAAGCGAATTGATATCGAAACAAACAATCAGCTTCGCTCTAGAAACACCGTACACGCCGAAATAGCCCCTACATGGCGACTGCTGCGATTCATCACGGTATCGTGTCTTGACCTTATGTTTATAGACCCTGCACACACGAAGAGAAGTAAAGCCGCCTAGTGAGTAAAACAGGAACATTGAAAAGAGGGATTGTTTAATAACTATTGACGGTATTCAAATAAGTTAAGTGTGTTTTAACTTCGATGAAACAGAGTTTACCCCTGAAAAATAAGTTATCTGTCCCTGTATCTGGGACAGATTACTCTGAAAAATTAGTTTTGTCACTCGCTCAAACTCGATGCCGTGTCTTCCAGAGCCACAGAATGAGTTCTTAGCCACATTGGCACTTACAACTAATCTGAAATATAATGACGAAAAAACTCCTTCACAACTTTAAATAAGTATACAGTACAGCGTCGTTTATCCGAATCAATTGGGGACTGGGGTTGTTCGGATAACCAATTATGTACGAAAAAATATATTAATTTATTCCGTGTTGAAATTTTTCTCCGTTGAGTGTCGCTTTGCGTTGAAATTTCTTCGATGTTAATCCTAACGTAAACTTTTTAAAATAATAATCGTGGCTATTGTATTGTTAAAAATGATTTCTTTATGTTTTACAAACGAAATAAATATATTGAAAAATATAAAAACAAATAAAAATTATACTTTAGGCCGACTGGAATTCTTTCGGATAACCGACGTTTCGTATAACCGACTTTCGGATAAACGACGCTCTACTGTAATTCAGTTACGCGCTTATATTACCACATCCTTAACACAAACAAATACAGATAATAAAGTTACTTTTTATTACCGTAAATGTAACACTACAACGAAAAATGTTAGTAACACCATCAATCAAATCATAGTTCCATTTTGGAACTTGATAACGTAAAAAAAAGTATTGTTAAGTTCAAAATTTACATAAATTTAAGACCACTTGCAAATGAAAAACTATGCTTTTCCATGCAAGCCGAGAAATGCAACGTTCGAAACTTATTGAAAAAAAAGAAGCATTCAATTATTCTTGTAATTTTAAATCAAAAACAGAAAGCGTATGATCGAGAAAACTGAGAACATACAACCAACCGTCTTTGGTTAATGTTATGCCAGATGGCCTACGAATGGGTCTGCTTAACTTAACCAAACCCAAATAATCGCACTCGGAATCGAAAATCTGAAAGAAAAATGTTTAAAAAAACAGTTTAAAATAGTGTCACGTCCACACTATAACAATGTAAAAGCACTAACCTGTATGCGATCGTTCATACTATCAGCTATTATCATTGTACCCAGGGAGTCAAAGGCGATACCAGTGGGCTCGTGCATTTCACCGGGCATTCTTCCAAATTTTCCAAAACTTTGAATCGTTTTTCCTTGAAGTGAAGTTTTGTATACTTTATTCAGGCCTGGCAACAAAATAAAATGTGTCAATATTTGCATATTACAAAGTAAACAAAAAGATATAAACTCACCAAGATCGGATACAACCAATTCGTTCTTATACGAAGCCATAAAACGGCACATGGAGTGTTTCGGTTTGTTGTTAACAGGTTCGAAGATGCTGCAATCTTCCATCTGTCCGTGCTTATTGAAAATTGCCAAATTGCCAGTGGCATCGTTTAACGTAACCAGTTTTTCGTCTTCCGTTAGAACTAAACCTGAATATTGGAAAATACAGGGTAACTACAATTAAAGTTCCCTTATTCAGAACACACTGTAGCTGTAACCAATAAGAGGATTGGCACAAAAATTTCTATACAGACTTTGCAAAGGATGCGGAAAAGGATTTTGTGGAAACTATGGTTTATCATTGAAATGCTGCAACTTTGGCAGCATTTCAATGATAAACCAGTCAAATTTTACACCTGAACAAATGGGGCACACATTGAGCAACATTCCTTACATCAGTAAACATCCTCTGCAGAAGGCATGTCCCTTGTGGAACGAATAAACTTATTCATTTTCCTGTAAAGCACCCCACGGGAAAACTTTTTGCTTTTTGAGTTGTTCTTTTCCTCATCCTTTTCATAATCCGTATGCAAATTTTGGTGTCAATTCGCTTATTGGTCACGGTTACAGAGTGCTCTTAATAGAAAAGGCCACCCTGCTTAAGGCAATCAAATAGACTTTTAAATATATATTATATTTTCCTATGATACCGAATGCTCTGTTAAGCTCTTCGTGCCCGAAACTCTTGATGAAGTAACCATTTGTATCGAAATGGTGAAGAGCGTAATTGTCTTTGACTACGAAGCTTCTTTCATCCACGAACACCACAGCAGAGGGTCGTACCATCTTACGAGAACCTGAAAATTTACTAACGTGTCAAAAGGTGAGAAGCTAAAACAGAAATCCATTGTCTTACCTGTAGCAATAACAATATTCTTCGGTGTTCCTAACTCGTCTAGTAACCATACTATATTGTTTCCCGTATCGCAGATGACAATTTCATTATTGCTATTAACGGCCAGGGCTATTGGAAACTTTAAATTCACACCGTTCTCTCGAGATATCGTGCATACTAAGTGCCCGGTAACACTATCTACTTTAACTGTAATAAGAACGATGCAATAAATAAATCGTCTTAGTAGTAAGAAATTATAAAAAGAAACTTACTTTCTTCGTCATAGGTTAAATCGTTTACGTGACTTTCTTCTGTACAGTAAAATATTCTGCTGTTATCGCAGATTTCGAATGTTAAATCGTAATATTCCTCATCTCTCTCGTAACGGTTCATTGTAGAGCATTTGCTGTACCCATCTTTTCTTTTGATGTTGATGACGGTTGGGCTATTAATTATATTTCTGCCGTATAACGTCACGTGTATTGTGAATTTCCCGTAATTATTCAAACAAAAGGCTAACACATAAGAACCATTTTCTAAGTCCTTTACGGATGAAGAAATCTCCATACCATCAGAATCTTCTACCCGACTTCTCAAGGAATGGATTAGGAAGGGATACCAAAATCTCTTACCTTTCACCAGGATTTTTAATTCCGTACCGATGTGGTACGTGCTCTTAGTTATGATAAGTCTAAATGAATCGGGTGACACAGGAGAAGTCTTTATGTATCCAACAGAATACTTCGTATTAGTGACATCATTAACGGTGAAATTTAAAATTAGGAAGTCATCTAAGTGTTTTTCTAGTATACCTCTCTCGAAACTGTCAGATTGTTCCTCCAAATTAACTTTCATCTTGTTAAGGAGAGCAAATTTACTTTGCACAACTTTGTCCAAGTCTTTCAGAAACTCGTCCCTGATGAAATCAATTGTTTCCATTATCGAATTCTTTGCCACCGTGTAGTTCTTTTCCAATATGGCTTTAATTCCTTCAATTCTGACTATTTTATTACGACTGGATGCTCTTATTGAAATGCATTTCAAGTCTGATGAGTTCTCTTTCAATTCTTCTTCCATATTAACCGTAAAAAAGTCAGTAAAATTAAACATTATGGATGCTTACGGTGTTACGTAGCTTCGTCCAGATAACTGCACTTTAATGGTTTATACTATTGCCAGTAATTAGTTTTATAAACCACGTGAAAAGTGTAAATTATTCAAGTGTTAATACTGTTACAAAGATATAAAAATATTAATTACTTGGCATGTAAATTAGAATGTAAACTTTGACTATTTACGTACATCTTGTGATTATGCAAAGTAGGAGAGTCACCTTTCATGGTGGATATGCCGACCGTATGGAATAAAGGTCAGTGCCAGTGGCAACTATTATTTTTTACATTTATATCAACTATATAAATCCTTCCATTACAATTTTTGGGTGTAGAATTCAAGGGTTTTATGTAGATTAATTAACACATATAAAATTGGTTGCGGGTTCTCGCTTGACCACGAGCAGCCATATGGAGTTTTTTGTGTTTTCTTCAAGTAGAACACACAAAAAAAAGAGCGTTATTAAAATAAATTGGTTCATATTAACTGGATTAAATGAATTAATTGGTGCTTTTAATGTATCTTATCCAGTTCTGCAGTATCTTTCAGTAATCTGTGTTGTTTGCAAGCTAAGGATGACCATAGAATGGTCAAGAACATCACTGAATAAGTAAAAATTTTGGTTTTCTGAACATAGCAGTTTGCTCTTTCAAATTGCAACACCACAAAGTATAGATTAGTATTACATATTTAACATTATACCTATGGCTTGGCCTACGGTGCCAAGTTTCATACATTTTCGTGAAATGTAATTAATACTGTAACAGAATGTTATTAAAGGAAATGCGATTATTTAATAGTATTATAACCTAAATTATAACTTTTATCTGTGATTAAACTATAAAATATTTTTAATTTAGCAAAAGAAAAGCGAAAAATCTGATAAATTCCGTGTTTTGTAGCCGAAACCATATATTTTGTGTTTGGCCTGAATCTTTATCTTCATAAATCGCGCAATTATATTATAATCATCTTATTTTGCTTTAAATTTGATTAATTCAATAGTGATTAATTAATAATAAGCAAGTATAATGAAGTTATTGAATACATCTGTAATGACGCTCATAATCCAAGATGGCGGTCTTCGTAACGATGGAAGTTCTTTTGCTAGAATTGCTGCTTGTAATTTTCATTAAGAAATGTTAATTCATTTATTTTAATTTATATTTTCACTTAATCAAGCTTCTTCAAGCAGAAAACGGATTCAAAGTTACAAACTCATTCCAATATGGCGCCGCTTATACTCATTGTTGTAACAGTTCCAACACAATTCAAGAAATGTATGAAAGCGAATATGAATTCCATGTTGTACGAGTCACTTAGATTTTACAAATACATGAGCCGTTCACAGCCCGGCACACGTATTTGTAAAATCTAAGTGACTCGTACAACATGGAATTCATATAACACGGAATTATCTACAGTGTTATAGGGGGGTCTACTGTACATATATTATATAAACAATGAAATTAGAATGTGCAAGATGTGTTTAAGTGTTATTATAATGTGTAAGAATGTATAAAACAGTACATTGAATAATTTTTTATTCATTATTTAAACGTTTTAGAATGTTCTACTCGCGACTAAAACAGGTTTTAAATTTTTCCTATAGAGCAAAATTTTGTGCAGTAAATCGTCTTGGAAGTCCCCTTTATTGTTTCATAAGCGAACAATAAAGGGGACTTGCAACAATAACACTAACACTTAAAAAAATGGCGAGACTTAGCAATACAGAGGAATTTCCCTGAAAATATTATCTAAAACTGAAAAATGGAAGCCAATAAATGTATTTTACATGATTTAATGACACGTGCAACCAACGCGCTACAATATACTACATAGAGTTGCTGAAGACACGCCATGTTTGAGAAAAATTGAATATACGTCCGCCATTTTCTTTTTAGTCAAGGGAGCGAGGCATATGTGGTGTGTAAAGGCAACGAGCTTGAATATTCTAAAAAAAAAAAACTTAGGATAGCAATTTTAAACTACATTTTCAATGTAATAAAACATTGAACATAGTTTGAATACAGACAAATTATCAAAAATTCTGTTATTAATCATTTTCTTTATATTAATTATAGCTATTAATTGATTAATGTGAGCCTTGTTCCTGTATTTCTTTGCTCAATATCAGGTGTGTAATTTGTCACTTTTATTCTTCATGCAGGCTTTCAAGAGTTTCTCGCAGTTCGACAAATTTTGTTTTCCCCAATTCTGATGATATTATTAATTCTATAAGTTCCATTTCAAAATTATCAGTGTCCATCCACTCAAAAAGAAATAAATCAATTAAGTCAGGCTTAAGAAGGAAAGAAAATATGGGTGCATGAATTTCAAAGTCTCCACATTATTTGGAAATTTCTTCTTTAAGACCTTCAATGTACATTTGTAGTTCATCTTTGTTAACAGTTGATCTTCTTGTATAGACATTGACATTTGGAAAGTACTTGTAAGCGTTAGTGGTAATATCACGCCAAAACATATCTAATTTTGATGAAAACCCTTTCCATTGTTCAAAAAGTAATAGTATTGTTTGACGCTTACCTTGTAAACACAAACTTAATTCATTGAGGTGTGTTGTATCAGTCAAAAATATCAATTTGCATAACCAGTCTTCATCATTCAATTCCGGAAAATTTTGTTCTTTTTTTCACGAAGAAACAGCTTGATTTCTTCCAAACATGATATAAAAGTGTTTAAGACATTACCTCGGCTAAGCCAACGAACACTGCTGTGTAGCGGAAGGTCCACATATTCACTCTTCATTTCTTCTAAAACAGACTTAAATTGCCTGTGTGTCAATGAATAGAGTTCGATACCTAAAAAATAACCTCCCCTCTTGCGGCAAAAACAGTAGACTTTCTGAAACGGTAGCAATTTACAATTACGCCTGTAGAAGGGGCATAATTCCATATATCGAAGCTTGGCCTAATGTACAATGTGCTTGATAAAAAGGCCCGTAGTGCCCACAGCAGAGTATAAAAATTAGTAAATTAATTTGTACATGAATTTTTACATTGAATTTTTGAAGTATTTAAACTATTTTTTGTGTTTTATTACTCCAATTACGCGCTTAAAACCACTAAAGACTTCAAATAGAATAAAAATAAACTAAAATTTTATTATTATAAAATATTTGTTTTATATAGATCAAATTGTCTATTTTCTTACAAAGATAGGAACAATATAAAATATATTTTATATTAAAAAAAACATTAAACAATGGAGACTATGAACAACTTTATGTAATTTAAACTGTTTCGTGTGTATTGTATGGAATCGTATTATTCGTCCATCTCTAATTTATAAACGCCTAGAAAATGGTCCAGGTAATTGAGAACATACAGGTAACCGTCAGGAGTTAATGTAATATCAGAAGGCCTACGAATGGGATCTGAAAACTGCACTTCGCCCAAATATTCTCCGTCCCAATCGAAGATCTGTAAAACAAAGATATTCTTAATGTTTCAGTGACTATCAAAAACTGTTTAAATTACAGCAGATGCTCACTAATCTGGTCAGAAGGGTTCCAGATTAGCGCAACTGCTGGATTACTGAATGTACAGACATAAAGGCAATGATGTGGCCAGTTCCCTTTGATGCTGTTGTTTCTTGGAAACAAGTAAGCAAACAATATGATGCACTGTCATGCAAGACCATACAAAGAAATAAAACAGAGTAAATAGGAAAACGGGATGTGTGGCAGGGCTAGCATTTTCAAAGGCAATCGCACTGGAAAGTATGCCGGATAAATGGGGACTGTATTAAGAATCGGAAAACTGATCGATTGTTTGTATGGTGCACTGAAAGACTGCCAATAAACTTTAATATATCTACTGTGTATGTCACTATCAACTTAGTTAAGACAGAGTATAGTTTAAACCGGGGTCAGCGACCTTTCAGCAGTGTTGTGCCGAACCTAAGTTATAATGTTATTCCAATTATAATGGCCTTAAGTTAATTGAATTATGTTCCTACATGTGAGGCGCATACACAACACATAAATGGCAACACATGCACATATTGTCACCATTTACATGTTTTGGCTGGCCATTTATATTACATAAGGCATTTATATGTTTTGTGTAATATAAATTCACAAGGAAGAGATTGTTTTTAATATACCATGGCCTACACTCTACTATGGTTTCCATTTAAATGTGTAATTAATAATTAAAATATAACTTTTACTACATTTCCATTTAATCAGAGTGCCACTAAACTTGACACGCAGGACGATTTTCAGTGGCACTCTGATTGAATAGACCAGGGTTGCTGAACCTTGATTTAAGCCATGCTAAAATCACTCTCTATTCCTCTTAATCCTTGCCATTGTCAAGTAATAACCTATTGTTTAAGTATTGTTGTTCTTCTCAAAAGCCATAGAACTTGGATAGAAACAGATCTAAACCACAGCTTAGGTCTAGACTTTTTTGTAAATTGGCAAAATAGCTTTATAGTAATTGTGGATTAATAACAGGATACCTGATGTTCGGCACTAGTTATGAGTAATCCTGAATCATAATAGAGTTGGTGTATGCAAATGAGAGATAATGATGATTTGCAGCATCAATTCTTGAAAATATGAATGAAGTGATTCCTTAAGAAGAAACTTGAACACATCCAATTCTTCTTCAGAAAGGAGGCACCCCTCTGGTGACATTGCTCAGAGTTGCCCCGGAGATGCAAGATTTGGCATCACAAACTTGTTCGTTGATTGATGGAATTAGTTTGACAGATCTAGAAGAGCAACTTTTGGCTCTCAAGTATAGTTTGGCCGCATGGTTTTATACCATTGTGTTGCCTCCTTTCTGAAGAAGAATTGGATTTGTTCAAGTTTCTTCTTAAAAAATCACTTCACGTATGTGTCACGTATGATATGTCCTTTTCTCTATGGTCTTTTAACGTTGTCACTTAAATTGAAGCATGAATTGTTTGAGAACTAGCCAGTTTGAGAACTATTGGCATATTGAAGGTAAGAAAATTGCAGGGAACTGGCCTGAAAATAAATAGCAATTACAGGAATATATTAGAAGTGGGGTTGATATCAACAACTTGTTATACAATATCTCAAAGAAACTCATCCACTACATGCCAGTGTGTTGCAAAGCTGTTATTAAGCTCTAGGTGGCAGTACAAAGTATCAGGATCCCATTCAACAACAAAACAAATCCAGCAACAAGTTGCTTAACTTTTCCAGCAACATTCAAAGTTTAATTTTAATTATTATAAAATGGCAAAGCTTAAGTTTGAGGGTAGAGATGAATTTTGTAAAAGAAAAATTGTAAATGCTAATAACGAATAAAATCATTATTCGTTATTAGCATTTACAATTTCAATCATGTCTCATATCTACTCGAGATATGAGACATATCGAGTTATGTCTCATATCTACTCGAGATATGAGACATAACTCCCCTTTATCTCTCCACCTCATTACCCTTTTACCATCAAAATTTAACAGCATCAATTCCCCTAATACACAAACCTCCACACAAAATTTCAGAAATTTTCGACAGAAAGAGAGTGAACAGCGATTACAAACTTTCAGGAGAGATAGAGAACACCTAGACAATGGGAAATCATATAGCAATGCAAGGTTGGAAACGCTTTCCTGGCGTGGTAGTGATGACACAAAACGCAAGAAAGGAAAGACGTGAACAGGGCGAGAAAACATGTTTATTATTCTTAGTACAGCAAAAACGCTGGGACATCTTTGGCTGGTGTACGTGATAGATGTCACTACGTAAATCGAAGCATCAGATGACATTGCATGTGCACAAGAATAATAAACATGTTTTCTCACCCTATTCATGTTCTTCCTTTCTTGTGTTTTGTGCCGTCAATATTGTGCCAAGGAAAGTGTTTCCGACCATGCATTGCTATGTGATTTCCTATCGTCTAGGTGTACTTTATCTCTCCTGAAAGTTTTTAACTGCTGTGCTGGTATACTCTGTATATAACAGAGCCAGGAAAGTAATAACTGTTCATGTTATGCCTTTCAGGTCTATTTATGCTGTAAACCTTTCTTTCGTTTCCATAACTGGAAACAGCAAGTTCTTATTAACAATATTGACAATTTCTTTTAAATAAGCAGATAAATTAATTAATGAGGAGTACTATCACATTAGAGGACATGTCAACCAATGCCATAAATAAGATCAGCTAGCACGAGTGAAAGAGAAAATATGCCCTGATCTGAATTGCCTTTAAGATTCAGTCCATTAATTATGTATACAGTTTACAGGAGGAATGGGGCTGTGCAAAGCATATTGTAGAGGGTCAAGACATTTCTATGTAAACTTTCTTTGCAGCGTCAATGGCCTATCTGCTTGTTCTTACTAGTAATGTGAATAAACTATCAATTAAAAAACATTTGCAGAACTTTTTAAGTCATTTCGTCAGTGTCAAGAGTCCACAAATTATTGTACACATAATTAAAGAGAAGGTTTTTCCATTGTACTGTACAGAAGCAATAATATTAGAAAAATACCAGAAACTAACCTGAATCCTGTCATTCTTGCTATCACCTATCAGCATTGTTCCACTGGAATCTAATGTGATTCCTGACGGTTCGTTGAAATTTCCGGGAGTTTTGCCATAAGAGCCGAAAATTTGAATTTCTTCTCCCAGTAGATTAGTCTTATACATTTTGCTTAATCCTAAAACAATAGAAATATGTTTAGTCTCTACTTACTAGAGCAGGGGTGGCCAACTTTTGTGTACGTAAGATCTACTTTTTATCTTAAAAATGTGTCGCGATTGACTTGTTGTCGTAGGCATAGTCTAAGTTCTAAGTGGCAAGAGGGAGGTGTGAAATACAAACTATCTCTACCGTGTCCCAACCTACTCTCTCTGTCCCTCTTCCCGCCTTTCTTTTTTTCGGTTTTATGACCTTTTGTCTACATTTCTTATTCCCCTTTTACAACTGTACGCAAATGAATTGCACACGGACCGACAAAACCGCATCTGAGGGAGGACGCAGAGATCCGACATCACTACAGTTGCATTTGTGCATTACGTTCGGTTACAAGTGTAACACATTAAGTCAAGACATTGCAAGTGATCGACCAAAATTGCTTTGCGATCGATCGGTCAATCATGATCGACTTGTTGGCAACCCCTGTACTAGAGAATAAAAATAATCTTAAACTCACCTAAATCGGATACAACCAACTCGTTATTATATGTGGCCATAAAACGACACTTTGAATTTTCTGGTCTGTTCAATAGAGGCTGATAAAAGCTCTTATATTCCAGCTGACCGTCCATGTTAAATGAAAACAACTTTGGCTGCCTACTCTCGCTTAGAGTCACCAACTTTTTGTCTTCTGTCAGCACCAATCCTTAAAACATTTTCAAATAATTATATTATATTATACAACCACTCATTTGATACTATAATTATAAGTGTATATAAATACCGAAAGGCCTGCTTAACATTTTATTGTCAGCAGTCTTGATGAACATTCCATTAGAATCATAAAAGTGAAGGGAATTATCATCTTTGATAACTAAATCCCCATTTTGAAACATAACAACTGCTGAAGGCCTGCAAAGTCTCTTACCTGAAAGTACAATTGCATAATTTAAATCTCTTAAACTTTAACCTTCAATTCTTTTTCTAGCAAACTTACCGTGACGGGTGGAATTAAATAGTGCTTTTCTCTTTCCGGTTTTGTCGACGATCCAAACTCTATGATTTCCCGTATCACAGATAACGATATCTTCATTATTGTTCACGGCTACGCCGATAGGATATCTGAGATCCACTCCACATTGCTTAGAAATCACGTGCGTGAGTTTGGCAGTTACTGGAACAATTTTCTCTGAATATTTTAAAATAGAGAACATTAAATAAGTGCGATAAACAAATATAGAACAAATTTTGGACACGAATGTATTCTTACCTTCGTCGTCATCTTCGGTATAATTCGAAGTTTTATGAACGCATACGCTAGCGTCTTTCATTGTGCCATTTAAATTCTCAGTTGTTTGTGGAGACCAAAACCTATCACCTCCAGTAGAACTGATCTTCGAGTTATCCATTCTGTCGGCACTTATACTTTCACTCCACTCAGACGTTAAGAATGAGCTATTGTTATTTGTACTCATTAAAACCTCTTTTGTTACACTACTGGAGTTTCTTTTTTCTTTTCTTTCAGTACAAAATTCATTTACATAACTTGAATTGACTGGTGTGTTTTCCTTTATCACACTAACAGTTTTATTACTTTTATTCTGATCAACTTCACTATTTTCAACAGAACACATGTTCAACCCCTCTGTTGGATAAATGTTTTCCTCTTTGCTCCATTCCTCAGGAGAATAGTGTTTTCCTGTGGTATCTAAAAACCTTTTTGGAATTTCTTCCTTTTCTACGAGACTATGTCCCATTCCAGTAACTTTAAAACTTTGTTTCTCGTCATTTTCTGTGCCGAATGAACTGCAAATGCCATCGCCGCTAAGAAGCTTCGGAGTACTTTCATTCCGATTCGGAATTTCGACAGTTTTAGGCGTTGACGTATCTACATGTGCATTTCGTAAAGGGCAAAATACACATTTTTCACATATAAATGGAGGAGCTTTTATTGTCAACGGGCTGTTTCTTACATGACGACCGTACAACAAAACAGATACTTTAAAATCAATACCGATAAAATTACGAAATGTAATTGAATAAAGACCATCCTTTCTATCGATGACATTCCCATAAAACTTTCTACCCGCAAAATTTTCAGCAAAAGCAGTTAGAGAATGAATTAAAAGAGAGTGCCAAGGTTTGCTACTTTTCACTTCTACCCAATACTTATTGTCCAATTCGGATACAGTAAAAGTTAGTTCCTCTGGCGAAACTGCACACGTTTTGAGATAACCAATAGCCGATTTGGCTATCGAAATATCTTCCGGTATAAAATCCAAAGAAATATAAGGTAGAAGACGCACTTCGGCAGGACTTTTCTCTACGATCCTCAAGACGTCGCGATAATGTTGGGAAGTGTTGCAGACATTTGAAAGGCTCGAAATGTATTCCTTGACTTTTCTCTGAAAATCAAGCAGGCTCTGATGCTTCGTTTGATAAGCGACATCCAATTCACTGATTAGCTCTTGTTTAATGGCACGTATTGTTCTTTTTATTGTCTTTTTTGCATTCAGGTATTTACTTTCCAGTGATACAAGGGTATTGCTTATTTTTAAAAGTTTCTTTTTATTACTGTCGATTACAGAATCTATGTCTACATATTTCGCATCCATCTTTACCTACAACAAGAAAAAAATTTCACATAAGAACAACATCCGGATGATTAACAAGTTAAATTTAATAAGTAGTTTGTTATTAAAATATTAAGGAACATGCTTCCATTAATAAGATGCAGTTTGAATCATCTCAGAATGGACTACAGGTGAATCTTTTAAGCATCTTTTGCATCAATAGATTATTTAACATTCAATATTGCAATGTTATAATCAAAATTAGAAAAAAATTACTACACAGGTTGCACAAAACTTAATTTTTCCTGCTTAGTTAATCAATAAATGAATGAATTCACTCATGTACATATTAACACTATTCTACAGGATCTGGAAACAAACTTGCATAATACAATAACAAAATGTACTTCTTTATCAGTGGAAATGTAATGTAGCAATTCACAAATGCTTTTGGAATCCACCTAATTCCAGCTTCAGGTTTTCAGATGATTTCCAATTCAAAACAAACTCTAAAAATCCTGAAGCCAGAATCAGGTGGATTCTAAAAACATATTTGTGAATTGCTACATTTTACACGTTCTTCTGGAAGCTGAAAAGGTTTAGTGGTCTTTTTTCTTTTTTGTTTTAATACTCTTTCCGCCTTGTGGACACTAAGAGGGCCTCTTATAGCAGGCCCATTATGGGTTCGGCAAGCACACAATGGGGCGACCGGGTGGTGAGGGACGGGGCCCAACATAACCAAACGGACCACCCCCGAAAAATTCCTAGGGACTCCTTGACCCATCCGGATTAGATCCCGGGTCCCCCAGAGCAGTAGGCTGCTACCTTGACCGCTCAGCCATCCAGCCACTCGTTTAGTGGTCTGAAAAATCTATCATACATTACATAAGGCTCTTCCAAAAAGAATGCTGTCATTTTAAATTATTGTAATTATGTTAATTATTATCTGAGAATGTTATAATGTGCATTAAAACATTGAAAAATTGCACAAGTTTCACATTTCCGTGTTTCAATTTCCCAATGTTTGCACCTCGTGACGCACTTCTTACCTTGCTATGGCAACCACCTCTCGTAGCAACCACAATCTACAGTTCCTGTAGATTACTTGTGTTGTACAATGATGTACGATTCCAACTTTTCAAACTGAGGAACACAGAATGCTTTCTCCGTTGCACACTTGCTATTTCCATTTATGGTGCTTCCTAGAGGTAGTGGACAAATGACAAGACGTTAGAATGCGTATGGGAGATGTAACTTGGATAGTTACTCTATTGACTGGTATATCTCGCATTCCTCTTAGATAATAATTAACATAATTACGGTCATTTAAAATAGTAGCATTTATTTTGGAAAACCCTGCATAAGAGCAAGTTGCATCTTTGAAGACAAAGAGAAGCTTGTCCTAATCTTCAGATGTGAATAATGAAAAGTAACTGTCCAACCTAGCGACTACAAACATTAACAGATGCTTATGAAATACTTTCACAGCTGAAAACAATTTCAGATGAATGGCTATTGAAGAAAACTGTGATTTGAATAGGAACCAGAAAGCACATGCAGTGAAGAATAGGTTGCAGTTTATAATGGTCATGGCAGGGATGATGACAGAAGAGAGATGCTGAGAATATCTTATCGCAGAATAGCCGAAAATTTAACAAATTTTGAGTTTAAGAGGCTGGGCGTGAACCGTGTTAAATAGCAAGACTTTATTATGGTCACAGGCTCTTCATAAGGACTCAAAGGATTATCATTATTAATATTAAATTGCATTTAAGTAAAAGTTTCAACTTTAATTTAAATTTATTTAATTGAGTTGCTGTTTCTCATAATAATATTCCTTTACTTGATTCTAAGTAGGATATATATTATTCCATATAATTAGGGATGTATTATCTCTAAAATCCATTTTGTTCTGTTCATTGACACCAACAGTCAATAATAGACCTATAAATGCTTGTAACTCAATTGTATCCATTAGTTTCCATGTGTTTTTCAATACTACGTTAGCTTCAAAATTGGTGTGCTTTAAAACAAGTACCAGTGTATTTTGGCCGAAAAATACAATGAAACTGTCAAGGGTCACAAATTTTATTTCCTGGTGATAGAATGACCTTACGAACACAACCACTGATTATATTATACTGTTTAGTTGTTCATGTTTTTTGTGGTTCTGATTTCCAAGTAACCTACACTGTTTATCTTGTCATCATTTTATTACTACTGAAGAACAAGAAATACATGTATAGCAGCACAAATCCCAAAACACACTAAAAATAAACTATAAAACAAGAACAACATCTGCACATACCTATAAGTACTGATGAAAAGAACAAAGACTGTAAATAATTTCTTACGAATCACCAAACTTGCAAGTTTCAATAAGTTCAAACCTGCAAACTTCTATACACTTCACTTGTGTCTAATGGAAACATTTGGGTTGTTACGTCGCTTTTTACAAAAATTGTTGAAATAATATAAAAACAACATTCTTCCGGAAAACATTAGTAAGATTAATTAATTGGAAGAACAAACAAAGAAGATAGAATAGATAAAGTGATTCTGTATGCAAATCAAATTTGAAAATGTGTCTGTCAGACACTACTGGGTTATTACTGTCTCAATATTTTATAGGTCCACCATTTGATTTAATTAAATCAAATACTATATCAGACATACATTTTACTAGTTTTTGAAGTTGTTGTTGTTTAATATTTTCACAACAATACATGATAGCTAATTTCAATTCATTTACAATGTTGTATTGTCTGTTTTGGCCATAAACAAGATGACTTATAATGCCCCAAACATTCTCTATTGGATTCATATCAGGACTCCATGATGGCCAATCAATTACATTAATTTTTTTTCATTAAACCAATTTTTAGTTACTTTGATGTATGAATGGCAGCATTATACTGTTAGAATTGTCATTTTTCTCACCCAATAAGTGATCCAAAAGTTATTAAATTTTGATAAAACAATTCTTGAACATATCTACAATGTTTGTTTTACCCCTCCATCCAAATCCTGCTCAAACCATCACAGAGATTCGCACCTTGCTGTGTGCTCATTCTGACTTCTTCATTCTTCCTCAAATCATGTCAGTAGTGGCAGTAACTGTCAGGTCCATCCAAATTCCATTTTTTTCATCTGAAAAGACTAAGGGGGCCCACTCCTCTTTCCATGTCATCTTGTCTATGGTCCACTTTAATCTAGCTGTTTTGTGCAATTGTGTTAATTTCGGTTTGGCATCCATTTTTGTAAATTTGGCACTTTTATGATTATGCATACATCTCCATACAGTTTCTGGTGAAACTGCAATTGGCAATATTGATGCCGATTCTCTGACAGCCAACTTGTTGACTGTCAGTAGTTGAAAAACCTTTCTTTCATTTCTAGGTGTAAGGAGTTTAGGCCTTCCACATTGCTTATTTCTGTCGTAATTTTCATCCAGAGTTAATACATTTCTCACAGCACATGTAGATTGATTTACAGCTGCCAAAATTTGTCTTAGAGATTGTCCTGCTCCTTTTAGTTAGTAAATTTCACGTACAGGTAACCCCCGTATAACACGGTAGTTACGTTCCAAAAAATTGCCGTGTTATGCGAATCCGTGTTATACGAAACAAAGAACTAATACGAAAAGGAGGGTTAGGTTCCAAAAATTAAAAAACATGCTAGTATATTTTCATAATTAAGATAAATATCTTCATTAAAATTTTTTTAAGTGATACATATTAATATAAATTAAACAATGTTTTCTTCGTCATCACTAAAAACACTATTAATTAACTGAGAGCGTTTTCTTTTTGGCAAGTTATCCTTATCCTCTGAGCATTTTTCTGCATTATCTTCAGACCCATGCTTTACCTTTTGCAAAATGTATGTAATTTTAGATTGCGTGCTTCTAGTTAAAAGGTCTTTATAAATTTCCTTATATGGTGCTAAGTATTTATGAAGAATAAAGCAAATATGGAATAAGGGAAAAACATTCGGCAACATCAGAAGCAGAAGCAGAAGCGTCGCGATCTGGCAACATTGAAACAAGTTTCGAGAAGGACCACGTGTACCGAGAAGAGAAAATTTACATATTTAAGTACTAATAGTTCACGAAAATAATAATTTTCGTGAACTATTATTACTTAAGTATGTAAAAATTTATTACATTTCCTGTTGTATGAGGGTTTTTCCCAATTCTCGAACCGTGTTAGAGTGAATCCGTGCTATAGAAGTGTCGTGTTATACGGGGGTTACCTGTATTTCCAACTCTTTTAGTGTTTTTCCATGTGGTATTGTTTTAAATCATAAAAAAAAACGTTTAAAATTGGCTCCACATTTGTAATAATAAATGATACTATCCTCTGGTGACAACTAATTAAACCAATAATTAATTAAAAACTTATCATGCTAATTTTATGCACCTGTGTTTATACTTTTGAAACAATCAAAAATTGAAAATCATTGATAATTTTTTTTGTAATTGTCAGATAGCTCTAAAAATTTCAGAAAATGTTTAAATTGATGTTGTAAACAACATACTAATATAATAAATACATTACTATTGTTAATGTTTTTGTTACTGAAAAAAGTTGGGCGTGTTTATAATTTTTAAACGGACTGTAATTACAATTGCAATGTTTATAGGATTATTAGTTACAATCAATGCTCTTTTTCTAAAAAATTACTGTTGATATGTACCAGTACTTTTTAATATTACTGTATCAGCCCAAATGTAAAGTTTAGTCCAGGAAAAAGAGGCATGTCGATTATGCACAGAAGGCCAAACTTCACGTGTTATTAATAATTCAATAGATATTTATACTGTGTACGTGTTTACTTATATATGTCACATATAGTATCTACAAAGCAATTTAAATAATTACAGTATTTAAAATATAAAAATATTTTTAAAAAAATAATCAAAATTTCATTGTTACTTGTTTCAACTCAATCCAAGCTCCGAATGAGATGGGACCTTGGGACTTTATCAGAGCATACCCATAGGAGCAAAAATGTCAAAGAAAGCATATCTCTACAAGCGACCCTTTGAATTACAGCCCGCAAAGTCAGGTCGCGCGAGATTGCAAGTCACGTCGCTCTGCTATGACCATTACGTTTAATTATTTAGCCGACACAACTCTGCCAGTTTCAAGTAACCCACTCGACTGTTCGTGGAGTACTTGGTGTTATATAGTTTTTGGAGAACGTGGGGTTACCCCACATGTGTGCAGAGGTGCAAGCGACAGCAAGCACCGAAGTACACGACTACATGAAGAGCAGCGGCCGAGGCAAGTGATAGCAAGTCTTGATGATGCAAAGCATTAAGAATAGGCAGTATACTGATACTCACACATGTTAACAACTGACCTTTGGAAGTAAATATCTTGTAAAGGGTCGAATTTACAGGTATGGTTCCTTTGACTTTTTTGCTCGTAAAGGGTGTCTAAAACTCTCGGGGATTGCGAAATCCCTCATTTAAAACTTGAATCTTACCTTAACAGCAGGAAATAAGATATTAAAGATTGACTCAAGTTTGATTCCGATCCAATGTGGCGGCAGACACCGATGTAGAACTCTGCCGTTCACTTATAATAAAGAAAATAACACTAATATTTAACTTACAAGTTATAAAATCCCGTTTAATAAACTATAAACCAACGAGACTAAAGTATATACCAGTCCAAATTATCCCAATGGCGGGAACAACGTTCACGTGAAAGTTAACCACGTGCTTCCGGCTTCGACACCACGACTCTCTCAGATTCAAATTTCATATAAAGTAATTGTATAGGTAAAAGGAATACGAGATTTTTTTCTTACTTTATTTTAAAAATGAAGCATATTTAACAGACATTCGTCAAACGCGTGACATTTTTCAGATAACCCACATATAAAATGCTATAAACGAAAAATCATAGGACTACTTTCCGATCGTGTACCGTTCGAGACACCATTGCTTAAGCTTGATGTCGTCGCGGAGATGCATGTTGGACGGCGGATGCACACAAACCGTGTGATGTAAGCCGATTTCTATGTCACTCCTTCACGTGACGACACATCTGACGCATTTCCATACAGCTTATTCTTCTTCCGTTCTTTTTGCACTACAATTTGCAGGCATCACGTGATAGAGTGAACGACGTTTTATTATTAATTAACACGTGGTTAGCTCTTTTATCACTTCGAACAGCGAAACAACGCTAAAACATTTCTATAGTTATGTCCCAAAAGACCCAAAAGAAAAAATAGTTGGAATTTAGTAAAAATCTGTAATTAAGGATTCAAAAATGCAGGCAAAATTAAAGAAATGATAAATAAATAAAAATTATTGCCTAAGCGAACAGTAAACGAGCGCAGGCTTCTGGGATGACTTTTGCGGTTTCGTGTCTGAGTTTTAAAAACATATTCACACGTTAGATTCTAATGGTTTTGGTCTCAGAATGCTCAGTAGACCCTGGCATGTGTATAAATTATATTTTAGAAAATATAATTGTTTCTCAGATAAGATATAATAAAAAAACTCTTAATCTTTAACGCTTAATAACAAAGGGGTATTTTGACATTTTTAGGTGCGGTTTTTTGTAATATAAAGCCAGACAGTTGCTTCATATTTTTGCAGAGTTTAGTGAATTTCGGTTGAACTACCAAAATGTTATCCGAGTTCACAGAACTTGTTCTTTGAAACTCGGATAACATTTGAAGATTAAGCGTTTTTTCATTATATATTATCTGAGAATTAATTATATTTTCTAAAATATAATTTATACACATGCCAGGGTCTACTGAGCATTTTGACACCAAAACCATTAAAATCTAACGTGTGAATATGTTTTTAAAACTCAGAAACGAAACCGCAAAAGTCATCCCACAAGCCTGCGCTCGTTTACTGCTCGCGGGCGGCAAATCGAACGATCGATCACGTAATGTTCAAAGTCATTGTCATAATATTCACCCCACCTATATCAATCAAAACATCCTATACCAAATCACTGTGAATGTGAGTTAACAATTATACTTAATTGTATCGATTTAGAGCTAATCAGAAAGACACGGGAAGGCTCTAAATTTAATTTTCGAATTAAAAAAATATCCATTAACGAGGTGTTTAACTTTCCCGGCAACATTTTAACTGTGTGTGTAGAGCCATCTGTTATCATATTTTATTACTAAAAAATATATATATTTTTTCATTTTTAATTATTATAAAATGGCAAAAAGCTTAATTTTTTGGGTAGGGATGGTTATTATAAAAAACTGTAAATGCTAATAAGGTGTAAAATCGTCATTAAGTCCGACCCTATTCGAGATACAACAAACGAAACTCCTCTATCTCCCCACCCCGTGGACCTTCAATCACCAAAATTTAATGGCCTCAATCTCCCTAATACACAAACCTCCCTGCAAAATTTCAGAAATTTTCGACAAAAAAACACAGGAATAATAAAGCTTCGAAGAGGATCATACATACAAACCCCCCCCAATATTTTTGCATTTCTCGACTTTTCAAGGCTCCACCGGGTTCAAAAATGTAAAACTCTACGGGGGGTATCTTTCGTAGATTTATAGTTTATTAATTAAATGGAATTTTATAACTTGTAAGTTAAATATGTGTTTTTTCCCCCCCTTCTCTCTCTATTATAAATAAACAGCAAAGTTCTTCATCGGTGTCTGCCGCCATATTGAATCGGAAAAAATCGATCGTCATACCTTCCCTCTGTTATATAATAAAACATAAAGTAAAAAAAGAAAAACATATGTTGCGAAAGTAAGCCTAATTGGGGGCCCGGTAGAGGGCCCCAATAAAATGAATAAATTGATCCTGGCTTCAGAAAGGCCCCAAATTTAGTCTTTCATGTAAAAGAAAGGATAAGAAAGCATGCTTTTATCTGTTTTGATTATTTTCTTCGTGTATTTTTATTGTTTTCGAAGAGGAAGGGCCCTACATTTATGCCTATACCCTACTGAAAACTGTATCATGTTAATAAATATCGTCTATCCTTATTCATTTAAATATAAATCGTATGTCCCTTTCAGGCCATAGGGCCTGAAAGGGACTTAAAACACTTAAATAGGGGCAGCTTCTTGTAAAAAGTCTTCCCGCGAATTACATTGTTGTACACAATAAGCAGTCTGAAAGTTATTTCGTATAATTCACTAATATTTTATTGACACTCTTTTTTAGTTGCATAAAATATGAAAGACAAACATGCAAATTAAAACGTGTTATTTTTTTTATACATATATTAATAATTCACTCTCTGGGATTATTTTCTAATCCAAAACTCCCATCATATGGTTCGTAAATAAACGAGTAGACAGAAAGAAAACGTAGCTGTTATATAATACAAACACCTCAATAGGGCGTTGCTGCTGAACGATCAACAATGAGGACCAAAGACTGATTTTAAGGTTCAGTGAAATTCTTTATATTAATCATAATTTCCATATTAGCATGTTTTTTTTTTTAATGGCAGGGTGTTTATTTATATGCTGTACGTGTTTGCATAAAATGGGCTTTTAACCTGTATTTTTAAAGTGAAAATTCGGATAAACTTTAGTTAATTCAGTTAAGGAACAACAGATGTCGCTAGCTACACATTTATCAGTTTTCCCATGAAAGCTTTCAGTATCTGATTCGAACTCGAACCAGGATCCTTCATGATTAGATTGTTTGTATAAGGCAACGCGACAAACTGGGCAATCTGCAGAAGAAAAATGCCTCCCGGAGGACTTTAGATGTTATAAATGTAATGAAAACTCCGTGTGACCAGGCAAGACGCGAACCAACGACTAACTTCAACCGTTTCATCTACTCAGCCACTGGTGGGTCCAGGGTCCTTCAGGATTATAAGCAGCAGCCTTTACTACTCGGATGATTGAGCGGTATAGATGGCAACCACTCTGAAGGACCCAGGATCAAATCCGGAGGATCGAAAATTTCCCGTGCCTCACCCATTATGGACTCGCTCGAACCCATAATGGGCTTGCTGAAAAGGTCCTTTCGTGCCCACGGGGGGAAAGGATTAAAAGTCCAAAATCATTCGTTTATTTTCCACAAGATGTTAATTTACATAAAGAAGAATTCTGGCTGCATCGGTTTAAGGGTAAGGGGCAACGCAACACGCAGGCGACCTGCCAGGAGGAAATGCCTCTCGGGAGGACTTTCTATTAAAAAAAACTGGCTCTTAATTAGATGCTCAACACGTGAGAAACCCACGTGGCTAGCCCATTAGTGATGAGGCATTAACCGTTGTTTAATGGTTTTATCCACTCCACAACTAGTGGGCAAGATTTTAGGTTTGGGCAAAATCATAACTAAAGTGTTCATAAATGTTTAAAATACTCGTAAACTTACACTTCAACAGACTATACAGTATTCTATAATATTTTGCACAGCACCCTCACTAAATGGTAAAGTGTATACAACTTTTGATGGATTATNTTCTCGGAGCGGATTAAAATAGATGGCACATTAATTTTACACGTGACTTGTTGTTGTGAGCTTTTGATAGCCTTTTCTTAATATTTATAACGTGTTCGGTTACACGTCACCCAGATTTTAAGAGCTGTAACAATAGAATTTTTATGATTTTTTAACTTTTAAAACAGGTTTTTTTGGCTCGTATAAGAGGTTCAAAGACCCGATAACGTCGTGATATTTAAATTTTAAGCGTTTAAAATGCTCCTATACTTACTCCCGACTTCGTCCCTCATGACAGGTCAGAATTAAAAGAAATTTCTAGTGAGTCTTTCTAGTATTAATAATTCTAATAATTTTAAGAAGTTTGTAGCTTAAGGTTCTATTCTAATTCTTGTAATAGGCTAAGTGTTTGGAAGTTAATCTTTTAATACCCTTTGAGTATACTTATTCTACACGGTGGATGGAAAGTAACTAGGCATTAAGAGATCTCTATAATTTTTACATTTATAAAGCAGAATAGATGAAAATTATTTATCTTGTATATTATTAAAAGGAAATAAGGATGAATATCTTAAAATTAATATATAACCCCGTCATCTGCAACAACGCGTTTTTCCGAAATCGTGACATGGTTGGACGGCTAATTCTTAATCGAACTTGTCATTTTCGCTTCCAATGACAGTTTGTGATTGTTTCCGGAAGGATTGTGGCACGACGTTCCTTCATCCTACGTCAACATCTCTACACGACAACTATCAATTTCAAAACTTCGTAGCGTGCAACTTGCGCTCTAAATAGACAAGCAGTGGGCTATCCTTTTTACCACTACGCGTGCAGCCTGTCTCAGTTAATATCCAAACGTTAGATGTAAATATTATAAAATGCCATTGATGTTTTTACATGATCACTTAAACTTATCACAATTTACCTATTATTACAAAAATTATAGTGATTTCTCAACGCCTAGTTACTTTCCACCCATTCCGTAGATCCGTTTGATGATGCCCCGAATCCTAGATAACACTGTTCTAAACATAGCACAGTTCCTGTTTCTCGGATTAATTTATAATAATTTATCAAGTTCTTGAAAGCTGATAAGATAACAAGGGGTAAAGTTTTGCCAGAGTTTATATAGGTTGTGTCTGACTTTATCAAATCAATAATATTTATACCATGTGAGCGCGTGTACAAATGTGCCCCTGTGTGTCTGTGTGTAAATAAACTTGCATCGTTGGCTCATGGCAGGAATGAACTCTTAGAAAACCAAGAGAACGAGGGTTTTTTACAATACAATTTTATTTTTAGCACCTGTTATAGCTAGAAATTTGGAGAAT